ATTCTTCAATTACATTTTTGGCGTTTACCAAAAAACAAGAGTTTTGGCTTAAGCCACTTCAATTCTAAAGGTGCGATATAGTTGAGTCAATCTCTAGCGTACATGTAAAATATTTTGTATGCAAATGCATTTACCAAATTTATGCACATTATAAACAACGTGACTTTTTTTTAACTAAAAATAAATTTAAACCAAACATAAACGCGTCATAACATTTACGACGTCTTGAGAATTCATCTGTGAAATGTGCAATTATCAGGATTATTTCTATTATTAACACCATCACTCACAGAACAAGTAACCGTTATAGCAAAAAGTTATTAAAAATAACCACTATAACGCTCTAAAAATTACAAAATATCTAGGAGCTTATTTCTTGCGTGCCGACTTGTGCCAAATTCAAATTTAAAATCGGTTATAGAATCATGATACATTTGGTATCCTTTTTTAACTTGCATTTTTGCCGTAAGGAACTTTCTTCTTCTTTGCACTTCTTATTTTTGGCAATTTTTTAAATGATTGTACCAAAACTTATGTAACATAGTAATTTTCTATGCAATAAATAAGGTACATAGTAAGCAAAAAAAAAATATTATTTGCAACATTTTAATAAAAAATATTTACATACAATAATATTATCATTTAAAATCTCAAAATTCATAATTTACACAAAATACACTTTTATTGAAATTTCATAGAGAAATTAATCTGGATTAGTCTTAAAACTTAATATTATAGCTCATATCTGTACTTTAATTTCTACCTGTGTTCCTTCTTAAATAAGAATATCCTTAAGGGTGAGAAGAGAATTTTTTATAGTTTTCATTTTCATCCAAATGCTCATCTTTGCTTTAGTAGAAACCATAGCACTCACAGGTATAAGGGTTACATATGAGTTTAAAATTAAATTTTTACTATAGTTTTCATTTACTTATGCTCTGCTCTGGTTTCTTAGAACTCGCCACGCAAAAAGCGGCAAAACTTTTTCACATTACGGCGTAAAATACTGCTATCTAGGAAATCTATTTTATTTATATAGACAACGTAATAGTGACGTCATTTTATTATTATGACCATAATGTAGTGGCACCGCAATCCTAAGTAAACAGAGCTTTAGTACGTATATGATGAACATTGGCTATGTAAGTCAAATTAACTTTTAAATTTTATCTACATACATACAGATTCATTAAGCTGGCTACGTATACATGTTGGCCGAGCGAAGGCGAATACCAACATACGCTCGTCGTTGCTTACCTAGCTATTCAAGTGCAGGCGAGAGCCAACGGATAAACGGTTCGTTTGGCGTGCCTTGCCACCACTCAGGATTGCTCACTATGAATCGCCTCACTTCGGAAAAAGTGTCGGTTTTTCTGCACAAATCAAACAAAACAAATTCGTGTCCACATGTTAGTTGGCCATGTCAGTATGTTGACTCGTTCAAACTTTGCCAACATGTAGACTGTAGCACTCGCCTTGTATCAATCTACCTACGCTCGCGTTGGCTGAGGTTTGGCCAACATGTACATATAGTCGGCTTTACATTTAAAATCAGTACACATATTTTTTAATGTGTTGCCATTATAAAAATAGTAACATTATATCTAGGACATCGCAAGGCAAGTATGTGGTGTTTTTAGTTACAAGATTAACTATATTTACTTTATTTTTATCATCCTACATAATACCACACCTGGACATATACCTCTTCAGATGTAATTAAGAAATCTATTCGCTAATAACAACAAGATAGCTGCTTCTTCTCTAACATAAATAAGCGTTCTTGATTATTCGCCTGGAAGGACAGTTAATTCTATTTCTCATCTGGTTTGATCAGCGACTTGTTTTCCTATGCTGACTTTCTATTTCATCATGAGGGATATTCTAGTGTAGGCGTGAAATCCATTACCTGGATTGTAACAATTAAATAACTGTAACAATTTAATAACGACAGGTGATTTAATGAAAACGTGGTAATAAAAAAAAAACGGGTAAGTCTAACCATAATATCTCGTACGTCAACAAGATTTAGTGATCTCTATGGTATTGCGCTTTTGTATTTGTTTGTTTGTCTGACATATTATGAAAGATATGTGAACAAACTTAGGATAAAAAGGAGTAAAAATGACGCCGTCGCCAAATTACTCCACGTTGATGGACCTACATAGTTATTTTTACGTAAACTGTTTAATTTATGTGCAAATGTTCACTGCGAAATATCATAACTGGTTACAGACAACATATAACAGATTTCATACACAAACAACTAAACTCACATATTAATTTAACGAATATAAACTATACAATTGTCTTTTTTAAGCATAACTATGCATTCTATTGTGATGTACTGACTGTAAGGGATCGATCTTTAAATTCAAACTGTCCCGCAAAAATATCTCTAATCAAATTTTATGGGGCATTTTCATAAAAGTTATTATAATAAACAAAATACTATAGAAAGAAACTGTTACGATGTTGATAAGGTAAGAGCATCACACCTCACCGATGATATCATATTGGCATTTGGGATATGCTGAGTCCAGTTAAAGATAATACATGCAACAATACTATTTATAGAAATTATGAGATGATACTCTAGACAGTGATTATGCATTCACGATTAACATAGTGCAAATAAAAAAAAAACTATAGCGAGAGCTCGCTAGAGCAATTTTAGCTTTATAGTAATCGTCTTAAGGTTCAAAATGCATTGTAAATTTTGTAATAACTACTACTACTAGACTAAAATTATTAAAATTATAAGTTGCACTTTTCTTAAAGTTGGAAATAATAGTGAAATTAAATGATTTTTAAGTCTGTGCGAATGAAATTAAAAAATTATAAAATCTGATGATTTCGTGCTTATGTGATTTTAATGTGCGAGGTATGAAATATTTCATTTACAGAAATATAAAATAAATATAATTAATAATATAACATAAAAATAATAATTATATAATATAATTCGCCGCCATCTATCTTTCCGTCCGAACACAATCTGGGCGTCTTCATGGCAAGAGTGAATAGGTTTTTGTTAGGCTAAGACCACAGCTAAGAGTGCGATTTAACATCTAGGACTACATCACCACTTACCACCAGGGTACCAAATAAGTAAATAAGAAGTTGTAAGATGGGAACAGTCACATTTCTTTTTGTTATTTTACAAATACCACTGTTATTCATGTTCTTCGAAATCTGAAGCGTTACAAACCGCATCTAATAATGTCATTTACATTTACTTTTTTGATGTGCCTGAAAGTACTACGTAGCACTGTCGAAGTGGCGACAGATGTTAAGGTAGGATTGAGTATGTATACTTAACACTTTCACTGTTCGATTTTCAGACAAAATAATAAGACAATAGCAATGAATTACATGTAATACACGGGACAGTGAATAGGTTAAGAATGTATTTCACTTTTACTGACCACCGCATTGCCTAGTAAGGACAGATTTATTATAATTAATATTTTACCTATTTCATTATATTAATATATATAAACCTCTCTCATTTCATACTTAAATAATGTCTCTTTTAAGCAATAGTAAAATTCATTTGCTCTCACAATATTATTCAGTATTTTCATAATTTTATATACATATTTCCTATCCATGATTTTTAATAAATATTTTGAGTTAATATACACACATTATTTGATCTATAAAACAACGAAATGTACACTGTATAGTGTATTCCAAATCACATTCTAAAAATGTGAGCAATTTTGAAGCCTTTTATAAAATAACAGTTGAAAATTAGGGTAACATCTTGAATTTGTTTAAACCCTCCCAGAAACGAGCGGAAACCTGTGACCTGTAGTTGGATGCATGTAGTTTGTTACTTACAATTTACTATATAATATGCATCTTCCCCAGCTGGATACAAAAGCAGAAGGAAATAAGTTCGCCACCTTGCTAAAGTTCTGATTGGAGGAAAGAGGGACAGAGGCGTCCTCGAATCTATTTCTCGGGCGTGCCCTATTTTGCTTTGCCAGCAGGGATATAATTCAGATGTTCGGTTTCCTCTTATTAATTCATTTATTACTATTAAGTTTCGAGACAAGCACCGAGCCCTTTAGCTTGCATGATTTATTTTCATAAATTAAAGATAGTATTGCGAGGAGACCCTTAAAGTACAGTATTGGATATTAGCTCTGATATTGTGGGGTGTATTATATATATAATTATTTACGATGCAGTAATTTAAATTAACTATTGGAAAAGAAATTTGAAGAAGATCCTTGAATAAATACATGTAATGTAGACATGGAACGAGTAGTGATTCGCCGAGTACTCGGCCTAGATTGGGCCGAGTACTCTGCCGAATACTCGGCTTTAAAAAAAAACGCGGCAGCGGGCGGCGTGCGGTTATTTCTCTTACAAAATAGACCCGAATAGGACCGAAAACCCAGTGTTTTTGCATTTCAATCTTCCTCTCTTAAATTTTAAATATTAGTAATAATAATTTCTATTAAAGATCCTTATGTACGTTCTAAATACTGCCGTTGCTTCTCATGTTCCTGATGTCTTCATGTGTCTAATATAATAATAATGATAAAAACTGGCTTTTTGTCTATTTTTCTCTGGAATATAATTAAGGCCGAGTACTCGGTACTCGGCCGAACCCTAAAAAAAGGCTGAATCCGCCGAGTACTCGTTCCATGTCTAATGTAATGTAGTAAGTAAGTAATAAGGTTTAAAAGTCATTAACCTCCACCAACAATAAAGATTATTACTGTTATTATTATTGCTACACTTGGCAGGCAAATTAGTGATCTTATCCACATATGGGATATTCATAATTATTAATAGTTTTTAGTGTATCACAGATACACAATATATTTAACACTTTAACACCTTCGTAACACTGTACATATAAATTAAAATATCTCTTAATATCACTTTTGTATAAAAATATTTCAGATCACTCAGTCCTCAGCACTAGAGTTGCGTGATACGGAGTTCTTGATAATTCCACTCAGTGTAACACTGAACTTCTGTTAGAAGGTTGGTGCGTTCATTATGAATATCCTGTTCTCTTCCCGTTTGATCCACTGGAGTAAATGATCGACTGCCTTTTTTGTCTGTTCCTTTTCAACTAGCGGATCGAATGTAACATATAGTTCGAAGCCGTTTGTGATCTGTAATATTAAAATATAATTGCTTTAATATAAAAATTGACAGCCGAAATAAAATTGCCGTTGGTCATGCGCCATATCTCTCTCCAGTCATTTTGAATTGCCATCTTATCAGAATATGAGAGTAATAGAATAGAAAGTGTAGTAATCTATTATATATAATTACATGTCACATTGTTTGTCCGCGATGAACTCCTAAATTACTAAATTGATTGCAATGAAATTTTGCACACTGCGTGCAGTTTAGTCCAATTTGAGAGATAGGATAGTTTTTGTGTGAACCTCAATATTTTTTATTACGAATTTAATAATTTTTATAGGACACAGGGTCGTCGGAGAGGACAGAACAACGTCTGTCTGGCCAGCTCGTTATTATATAGTTTCTGTTGATACTGGCCGCTGCGAACAATATTCACATTAGGAAACATTATTATTGGTTTTTGTTCATTCAACTTCTTATTTATCATTTATAACAGCCTATAAAAGTCCACTGCAAAACATAGGCCACTCGCATAGATTGCCTCCTAGGCAATTTTGCCATAATTGCCATAGTTGCCATGATTGACAGGCGGGTTGGCAATCGAAGTTTTTTTTGAGTTATTATCAGGAAGATGCTGGTGCCCATCTTCTAATTTATTTTCCCTCTGTCGCCTCTTACGACACCTACGAGACAATATGGAGTAGTGGATATTCTTACACAGCCACTACACAGTCTTTATAAACTTTTAAATATGTACTTGTTACGCAGGGCGCGGCGAAGGGAGCCGCCGCCCCGCCGCCCCCTCATGCCCCGTTACGCCCCGCACACCCCGCACTCAGCCCGGACATCACGTGAGGTTGGCGACCAATGAGCGCACAGCCACACCGCGCGGGAATTAAAGAAGAGGCATCTGGCCGCCTCGACATTATTCGATTAAGCGGCAAAGAAGGCACTCAAGAAAGAATAGTCAAGACTCTCAAGACTAACAAAGAAAATATTCAATCTGTGTCATCATCATCATCATTACAGCCCTTCACAAGTCCACTGCTGAACATAGGCCTCCCCCAAAGAATGCCACAAAGCACGGTCCTGAGCCACCTGCATCCATCGACTTCCTGCATATCTTACCAGGTCGTCACTCCATCTAGTGGGGGGACGCCCTACACTTCGCCTGCCGGTACGAGGCTGCCACTCGAGAACCTTTCTTCGCCATCGGTTGTCGGTTCTTCGAGCTATATGGCCGGCCCATTGCCACTTCAGCTTACTAATCCGTTGGGCTATGTCGGTCACTCTAGTTCTACTGCGGATATCCTCATTTCTGAGTTTATCACGCAGAGAAACTCCGAGCATAGCCCTCTCCATAGCTCGCTGAGCGACCTTGAGCTTCCTCATCCGGCCAGCAGTGAAGGACCACGTCTCAGTTCCGTATGTCATCACTGGCAACACGCACTGGGTATACAGTCTCGTTTTCAAGTTTTGAGGTATACCTGACGAGAAGATGTGCCGTAATTTCCCGAACGCTGCCCAACCGAGTTGAATCCGTCGATTGACCTCTCGGTCGAAGTTGGACTTACCTAGTCGGACTATTTGTCCCAGGTAAACATACTCGTCAACAACTTCGAGCTTAGTGTTCCCAACAACTACCGGCATAGGTGTGACATGGACATTAAACATGATCTTTGTTTTGTCCATGTTCATCTTAAGACCTATCCGTTGGGAAACACTATTGAGGTCATTGAGCATAGTGCTTAGGTCCTCCAGCGATTCTGCCATAAGGACTATATCGTCGGCAAATCGAAGGTGAGTGATGTACTCGCCATTGATGTTGATACCGTATCCTTTCCAGTCCAGAAGATTGAAAACATCTTCCAATTCAGCGGTAAAGAGTTTCGGGGATATGACGTCACCCTGTCTTACACCTCTCTGCAATTGGATAGGTTTCGTACTCTGGTTCTGTACTCGGATAGCCATCGTAGCCCTACTGTACAAGCACTTCAACACTTCGATATACCGACAGTCAACTTGGCATCGCTGAAGGGACTGCAGCACCGCCCAAATTTCGACGGAATCAAAGGCTTTCTCATAGTCCACATACGCCAGACATAGTGGCAAATTGTACTCCTCGGACTTCTGTACAATTTGCCGAAGGGTATGTATGTGGTCTATGGTGCTAAAGCCTTTTCGGAAACCGGCTTGTTCGGGAGGCTGGAAGTCGTCAAGTCTGCGCGCGAGACGATTCGTAATGACTCTCGAAAACAGCACGTAGACGCGGCTCAGAAGGGAAATCGGTCTGTAGTTCTTCAAGAAAGCGTTGTCGCCTTTCTTGAAGAACAAGACCACCGCACTTCTGCTCCACGCCTCCGGTGTAATGCCACCATGGAGGACGGAATTAAAGAGCTTCTGAAGGACTTCAGGTACCGATTTTCCACCCGCTTTCAGAAGCTCCGCTGTAATTCCATCCTCGCCTGGGGCCTTGCCGTTTTTAAGGTGCTGGAGAGCCATTCTAATCTCGCTCAGACTGACGTCCGGGATATCATCGGAATAATGTCGGATAAGACTCGCTCTTGGATCGTTACTCACACTTGCGTGCGGCTCCAACGATGACGTGTACAGCTGCCCATAGAACCTCTCAATCTCACTCAAAATCTCAGGTGCCCCGGAAACGATGCTGCCACATTCTGTCTTCAGCTTTGACAGTTGGCGCTTTCTGGCAGACAGATCTCTGGCAAAGACTTTGGAGCCTTGGTTCCGCTCGATCGCTTCTTCAATACGAGCTGTATTGAAGTTGCGTAAGTCCCGCCGCATGCATTTGGAGATCTGTCTGTTCAGTTGCCTGTATGCTGTTAAATCTGTTGAAGAATGTAGCTTCATCTCCCGTCTAACAGCCATGAGATTAAGAGTGTGATCGGAGAGTTTTTGTGTTCTTCTGCGGCGGGTCTTGCAGAACTTAGCTCCGACCGCATGGACAGTTTCCACGAGCTTGTCATTCAAATCGTCCACTTCATTGCAGTCTTCTAGGCACTGAAAACGGTTTTGTAACTCGAGCTGAAAGGTTTCGGGACTTTGGATTAGAGCACGAGGGGGACGGAGCGTTGACTTCATTAGACGAGACCTCTCCAACTTAACGTTTAGGTTCAGTGTGCCTCTAACCATTCGGTGATCGCTGCCGGTTTTCACCCTCGCGATCACTGAGACATCACTGAACAGTTGTCGTCTGGTCGTCATAATGAAGTCAATCTCATTTTTTGTCGAACCGTCGGGGCTCGACCAGGTCCACTTCCTGTGGGGCCGCTTCTGGAAGAAAGAGTTCATCATAAAGAGTCCCTCTTTCTCCATGAAGTCAGCCAACTGCTGGCCCCTTGGGTTCCGTTGCCCTATTCCAAATTTCCCTACTTTCAGCTCACCGTTCTCTCTTGTGCCTAGTTTTGCATTGAAGTCTCCCATTAACACCGTATATTGGGTTTTGGAGGAATGCATGGCTCTAGAGATATCCTCATACACTTCATCCACCTCCTGATCGGGGTGTGCCGAGGTTGGTGCGTAAACCTGTATGACCTTCAGCGAATACCGTTTGGTGATTCTGAGTATAAGGTACACAACCCTCGTCGACACACTCTCAATCTTTACAACGTTGTTAACGAGAGACTTGTGGACGATAAATCCGACACCTCCTTGGGACAGATGGTCGCCCTCCCGGTAATAGAGCAAGTTGCCGGATTCGAGGATTACCGTGTCCTCCCCCTCTCTTCGGACTTCGGATAATCCTATAATATGCCAGCGTAACTTGTCTATCTCTTCTTCCAGCTCCACAATCTTCTCGTCAGTCCTCAGGGTGCGTGCGTTGTATGTTGCCAGGTCGAGTCGTCGTAGGTGGCAACCGAACCTCCACCGGAGATTCTTAGCACCCCCTGCCCCGCCATTACCATGGTCGCCACCGTAGCCAGGAATAGCGGGGCCGCCGGGGACTGGGGGCCGTTTATTATTGTCATTGCTCATGGGGGGTATATTGCCATAGTTGCCACGCTTGGCGAGCGGGTTGGCAACCGCAGTTTTTTTATTGTTATTTTGACTAATATCAGGAAGATGCTGCTGCCCATCTCCTGCCTGTTTCCCTTTGTCGCCTTTTACGACACCCACGGGAAGATATGGGGTAGTGGATATTCTTAACCGCCACTACACGGTATAATCTGTGTAGATATTAATAATTGCCGCCATTGTAAATAGTTTAATATATAATTATAAAGTGTAGCACATTTTCTTTAATAACATCCCTAGCAATAATTACCCTTACTCATACAGTCCGCTACAGTACTGAAAAAATAACTTAAAATGGAAAACGTCAAATATCTAATTTAAAGAAGTTTAACTCACCCAAGCCAATATAGTATCTTGAGAATTAGATCTAAATATAAATTTCGCCGGTACCGTTGCACAATGGATTTGATTACAGAACTTCCTGTAATTTTTCACATAATCTATATCCGATAACTTTTCTATCTTCTTCACCGTAATATCGCCACCTTCTCTATGCATCATTCTGTAATCCTGTAACCTATCCAAACTGATAGGATCGGATGTGAAAAGTTGGGCAGTTGATTTGCATTTGTACATAAAATGCCTTATAATGGGTATACCTATATGTTTCAATGGGTTTGTTGTGGGCAAGTCTTTGCTTCTGTTTAGTGCGTCGTTTATTGCTCCGATGCATTTTAACTTCTCTAATTTCTCGGCTATCGTGTGTTTCGCTTGTGATAAAGGATAGAACGCGTCTCTCTGTACTGTGAGAAGGAGTAAACAGGCTTGACAGTCTTCGGAGATGTAGGAAACATGGCCATGAAGGAAACCGCTAAAAATGTATCAATTATTTATTTATTCATTCATTGCAGTCTATCAAGGGTCCACTGCTGAACATAGACCTCCTCATAGATTGCCTTATAGAGGGGACATTTGCCATAGTTGCCACGCTTGGCAAACGAGCGTTATTCAATATTTGAGAGTTGTTGCCCATCTCATGTTTCATTTTCCTCAATAGCCTCATAAAACTAAATAATATCACTTTATATCATTCCGTGATATAAGGTGATATTATTCATATGAAGTGAAAGTTTTCATTAAACAAGTGACAAACAAATTTACAGACACCTGCAAGCCAATTTCAAACAAAGAAGATTAAAGATAAAAGCCCGCTTTTCACTATGGAATATAATATATTATATATTGTTTATATATATATATATATAAAAGTATTTATATATTACATCTCGAGATATAAATTAATATCGCTCATCATACTTTTAAATGGAACCGTTTACACTGAGCTATAATATATATTACATCTCAAACTATAAATATTTTTTCGATCGACCGAGCGATATTTTCATATTATATTTCGCCCCCTGTACCCCGCACACCATTCTGCACCACCGCAGAACCGTGTGCGGGGTACAGGAGGTAATCCAAAGACGAACCCACACTGGTTAAAAGATATATCTCACAGTGTGAAAGCCAATCGCAGGATATAAGTTATATTTAAGGATATAATATATATTATATCCCATAGTGAAAAGCCAGCCTCAAACAGCCTGTATATAATTAATAGTTTGCGCTGCCTAGTAGAACCGGTTCGTCAACAAATGGAATGAGCGCTCACGTCGGTGGCGTTCAATTCCAGAATGTCCCATGTGATAATTGCAAACGGGTGCTTACCGCTTACACAATAAAGGATGTATATTTAAATGTATATTTTTGATTACTTTATTAAGAAATTAATTAATTATTTAATGTTAAGCAGTGCGTTAGTTGCGAATGTACCAACACAAACCATTTTCGGTTTAATGGTATAAATTAATGAAAATATATATGAACACTTTTGATTAATAAATAAAAAAAATTATATATTGTTATCAACTTTCATTAATAATTTTTAAAACGGTGTTGAGTTCAATAACAAAAATCAATATGGATCCTCCTTAGAATGTATGGAAGCTTATTTCATACTATATATCTCAATCTATTTCTTACATTTCTATTAAGGGAGAAGACTCACCGACGCACAGACCAACGGACGGCAGTCCATATATTTTTTCAATTACATTTTTTGTTATTTATTATATTATTAATTAGAAAATAAACTAATCTTATAATTAAATGTCTGTAGTTATTGTAACGGTAATAATAATATGGATTTGATGTCTAGCTAATAGTATAAGAACGAAAAGCAAAATTGAGGTATGGCCACATTTGTCTTTTATGCCTTTTAAAAAACGTTACCTCCACACTAGGATTTTCTCCTGCATTGTGGGTTTATATACATAAATTTCACAAGGAACAAACATCCAGACCCGGAACAATTATTTGTAGGCGATACAAATAATTGTTCCGTGCGGGATTCGAACCCGCGGCCCTTAGCGCAGCAACTCATTGCTAAGCCACTGCACCACGGAGCCGTCATATAGAGTAGACCACTCCCTCACATTGTGAGGTGTGCAATATTGGCAATAAAAATGCATTATCACTCTTGAGGACTAAGAAGAGGTTTGAATGCCTAATAGTTTTCAAATAGAACTTATTTAATCATCAAACACGAACACATAATGGGTACATGCCGCTTTACAACATAAATATGAAAGAGACTTTGAATAAAACTACTTTTACTGATTTTATCGCACTACACATTGAATAAAAGTAGAGTTATTCAATGTGTAGTGTTTGCGTAAATATAAGAAATCATTATGAAAGGGGCTGTTACTGCTTTAAACTATTAGTTTCATTTTTTTCTTTTTTTTTTATATAGGATAGGGTGACAAACGAGCACACAGTCCACCTGATGGTAAGTGGTTGCTGTGGCCCATAGACATCTACATCTATCATCGTTTACAAATCAAAATGCAGATGGGTTGTCACCCGTGAGGACTAAGATGGAATGCCTCTTTTCCAGTAAAAAGGGTCTCTGGTTCTCTACACTCACCATACAAAACACAGCAGTGTTGAGCTGCTATTTTACGCTGGTATTCTGTGAGAGCGTGGTCCTTCCCCGGTCGAGCCGACCCATTCGTGCTACAACCATACTACTAATATAGCTGCAGCATGGCTCTATCACGTGGGACGTGGACGTTATATAAAAATATAGGTGACAAACGAGCACACAGTCTACTTAAATGGAAAATATATTTTATAAAAAAAAAGAAAAAAAAATTGATGCTGGCCTAAATCTATTCTTGATAAACAATCATAATGCTAATGAGTTGTCACTACTGATGACTAAGACGAGGGTATGCCTTATTACCAGTGAAAAGGATCTCTGTCCCTCACCATATGGAACACAGCAAAATTTTGTCACATTTTTCACACTGGTATCTGTATAAGCGTGGCCCTCCCCTGAGTTTTGCCACTATGTATGGTCTTTCCCTCTAGTCACCAGGTCGTCACTCCATCTAGGGGTCGTACTACACTCAGCTTGCCAGTATATGGCTGCCACTCTAAAACCTTTCTTTCACATCATCCTTCTTTGCATTAATGTATAGTGTAAAAAAAATCTACTTACGTAGCATCAAATTTCGGTAAACAAATAGGCGTCCAACTCTCAGCTGTCTTAAAGGACTCGGAGCTCCTCACAAAATTGAAAAGTAAATGTATATCGGATGGATGCAAGGTGTACTTCTTCATTCTTACCAACGTTATCAACTGATTACCAGCGATCATTATAGCAAACACCAAGTCTCGTATTTTGTTACAGGTTGATATTATTGCGTTTGTTATGTTTTCCCGCGCTTTTTCCGGCAATGGCAGACATCTGACAGCGCCTAATAAGAAAGCTGGGTCTTTTTCCATAAATATTAGCAAGTTATCTATCAGTCTCTCGGCCCCGGCTAATAGCCTTCTAAGGTCGTAATTACGCCGCTGTTCAAATATTCTATTCAGTTGTGTGAGAGTAAGGACGGATACTATTTGATTGAAGGCATATCTGGAAAAATATATATTATTCTTTTTAAAATTTGGCATTTTTTCATTGGTAAAATAGAATACTTTACCTTTACTAATTTTCAAGCTGGCATGTTAAATACTCTCTCTCAAAAAATATTGGTTTTTTTATAGGATAGGGTGAATAACGAGCACACAGTCCCCCTGATGGTGGGTAGTTCCTGTGACCCATAGACATCTACTGTCACCCTATCCTATAAAAAAAAAATTAAACTGACTAGATCTTTAAAAAAAATTGAGATCTGCATCCACATCCGCGGATGTAAAAATTCTGCATCTGCAGCATCCTAGTTTGTGTGTTTCATAGAAATATTTCCTTACACATGTAATGACATGAATGTAAATGACATTTTGTAAATTTTAGCACTTATTTTCAAGCTTGCGAATTATGAATTTTGAGGTACATATACAGCATCTTCCCCGAACGGGCTCGCTTTATCGTGGCCACTTCCAGAACGGGTTCCCGCCTTGTGGTGGCTCACCCGCGAATGTAGAAAACCAAGCTGTATATAATTTTTTTTTTACATTTCTCCGTGTAAAATAAATGCATACAGCTTCTGTGACGTAAGAGACGACTGTGGGGAATGCCAGAGAGATCTCATGGCTTCAACTAGACGGCGAAATAACCATCTCCTTCATCAGAAGATTGGCGATTAAAGCGAATCCTTCATAGAACACGAGAGGCTCACGTTCAGCAGTGGCATTTTAAGGGGTCATAAAGGAGAAGTAAGGATCTGCATTGTAATGGCACTAAAATATTTTTTTATTCGTTCATTCCTTACAGACTATCGAAAGTCCATTGCTGAACATAAGCCCCACCCCTTAGGCCGATTTTAGAGTTGCGCTGATTGTCAGCGCTGACAGCTCAGCGCGTAGCTGTGGGAACTCGTTTTAGTGTTATGCTGACCGCTGCGAAGTACAGACATGGCCAGTCCCATGAGTGTTAAAGTTGCTCGGCGCGTGCGTTTTCCGTAACACAGTAACGATAACTGAGTTCGGTAACGCGGCGCGTACCGTCGCGTGTGGCTCGGCGCTGACGGTCGTCAGCGCTAAGCGGTCGGCGTTATTCTAAAACGCTCCTTAGGCACCTATACATATTGGCCTGTCAGCGCTGACGATCAGCGCGACTCTAAAACCGGCCTTAGGCGGTATCTATAGACCGTACTTTGACTTTGCTCAGACTTTACTTTCGAGCTAAGACAATGTCGGTATTTATAGAGCTAACTTTGAAGTCGTGCTGAGTGCGCGCTTAGCAAAGCCCAAGTCAACGATATCGACGACTTACGTAAAACTCAGGATATTATGCAAAAACAATTTATTAATTACAAAATGTTCTTTTTATGTTACTGTATTTATAACAATAAATAGGTAGTTTTAGACCGTCTTTTAGTTTTAAATAGCATTAATCCGTTTTCTTTTCTTGTTGTTTTCAATTTTAAATATTTTTTTAAATTTTATATAGTAATTTTTATTTTAATATATATATATTAATTAATTCTATATAGTAAAATCAAGAACATAATGCGTGGAATGAAGCATCCATTAATATTTGGACTATCTGGGCCTTAGCATAAGCTTAGCTTAATCTTAGCCCGATAGATCTATAAATTCAGAATCAAATATTATGCTAAGCATATACTCAGCTAAGTTTTTCGTAAGTTAAATCTGAGCAAAGTAAGCTCTATAGATCTCAGCTTTAGATTGCCTCATAGGGGAGATTTCGCCATAGTTACCACGTTTGGCAGGTGGCTGGGCAACCACAGGTATTTTTTATTTCCAGCCTTTTACGACATCAAATTGATTATATTGCGAAATTACTTACGTCAACTGCATCACCAACTGTGTTTCACTTTCGTTAGATTTTGAAACAGCTACCAGTATAAGCGGACCCTTAACTAAGAATACTGCTTTACAGTCTTTCGTGTTTATGGATCTCAGGATGTCCTGGTTTTGGTCCTCAACTACACTTACAAGTGCTTGTATAACTCCACATAATCCAGCCAATTTATCTTCATTGCCATACCTGAAATTATTATCATACTAATGAGCCTGTGGTACATAAAAAAGAACCATCACCGTATTTTATCCCACTGTGGTGATAATGGAACAAGCTCCTATTAGAAATTATGATATAATCATTATCATCTTTTCAGCCCTACACAACTCCAGTACTGAACATACGCCTATCCCAAGGAATGCCACAAAGCATAGTCCTGAGCCATCCGCATCCATCAACTTCTTTCATCTCTCAGGTCGTTCACTAGTGAGCACTCCATATAAAAAAGGGCCACTTTACACATCGCTTTTTTTATAAGTTATATTTCTTTTGGGGTGTTTGGGAAAATGACGAAAGTGAATTTTAACGATGCGCGCACACACAGACTCTTAAAAGCGACAACTTCAATTGGTAATTGTCTCTGAAGTTTTCATGGGAACTGATAAGGTAGTTATTCAAATATATATGAATCTACAATACGAGTTTTATTGTATAGTATGTAAGCCATATTAAAGGCTTATGAAAAAACTAAGATCTGACAGTTGTGTTGTCATTCAATAAAAGGTATAAATTTAATTTGTGTTTTAGCGGTGAAATCCTCAAAATACATAATATTTGACGACGAGGACCTTATTCATGCATTATTGAGTGCGATAAAGTTAAATAATTACAAATAAATGATGTCAAATAAAGGAAATGTTCGTCAACAACCTCACATTTGATCACCACATGCAAGAATGGAATATTTTTAAAAGTCGATTTGTCCAGTTCTGTATGGCAAACATTGAGTCATATGTACTACGTACTAGAGAAGCTATTCCAAACAACAAAATGTGCGCTACTCTATGTCTTCGCGCATGCGCTGGACATAGTAGTTATCTATGGATAGTAGAGTCGCGCATACGCAGTTGATATAAGCGCGTTGCGCCTGCGCGGTCAACTATTTTCATCATAGATTAGGTGCACGTAGGTAGAATGATCAGTATATAATGATTGTTTAAAGGCCTATTACATTACACGATTTCTCGGGCCCTGCCCGCAGGGACAGGGTAGTGTAATGTAGACAGGGGCCCTAAACAGGGCGACCGAGCGGTTCCGACCGCCTTGCTTCCCTGCCGCGCCGGGGGTCGTGTAGTGTAATAAAATACAGAGCGACAGGGAGCTCAGTTGGGTGGGCGCAAGCGCAAAGTCTACACGTCTGTTTATTAGTTAAATGTTCGGGTCCGTCTATTTACTCTCGTAAATCAATGCTCGTAATTATGTCGTGCGCTAAAGAAAAAGATATCCTTCTCAACGTCATCGACACTACGACACACGACTATTCCAATAAAGAAATAAGAAGCGAAGGCTTTAAAGTACTTCTACAAATTTATAAATCTTAGGAGCAAATATTTTTTTCACCCACATTTTTCTTTTGTTCCTTTATTTAGCTTGGCCTTGCACGGTACTGACAGCCAAAGTTACCGCTAAAGCAATTTTTTGATGTTTAGATAAAGTCGGCGCCATGATGCTAGACGTGAAAACGTTTCCACGTTCGAGTAACGACTGAGACAGGAAGCGATTTCTAGCGTAAGTGTAATAGGCAGGGCACACGATAGACAGGGCCCGATAAATCGTGTTATGTAATGGGCCTTTAATAAGGTGTACGGATGGCAGTACAGAAACAAACCTTTTTATTCAATATGGGTTGCAAATAGTATTTACTAAAAGTCGCTCTTATGTTTAAATACCACTGGTTCGAAAAACAAACCTCTGTCCTGGGAAGAACCAGCAAGAAACCCAGAGGACCTTTTCTTTAAATAACAGCTTATAATCATGTATGTTACACAATTAACAACACAACAAATTAGAAAGAGCATAGTAGAGATCACCTCATTATCCAGGGGTTATTATCATTCATAAATTCCTTAATATTATAATAACCATTTTTATACAAACTTAATAAAGTTTTTGAACTTTAAACAGGTCAATCCCACACCCAGGTGTGGTGATTATATCGCAGTTTTGCACTCTCAGCATAATAATGTAAAACCGTTTATATATTTATTTATATCGTTATAATGATAAATGAGATTAAATTCACCTATCAAAAGACGCAATGGACGTATATTTAAGAAAAAAAAAATTAAGAGTAAATATAAAGTTTAAAAATCTTAATAAAAACAAATTACAATTTTTTTTAAAACATTACCTCCACGCTATGATTTTCTCCTGTATCGTGGGGGCAGTTTACGTACATAGATTTCAGAAGTACAAACATCCAAACCCAGAACAATTTTTTGTAGGTCATACAAATACTTGTTCCGTGCGGGAATCGAACCCGCGGCCTTTAGCGCTGCAACTCATTGCTAAGTTACTACACCACGGAGCCGTCAATTAATTGTGACTAGGATCTTAAATAATTTGATATGACATTGGTCCCTTGGGAGAGAGGTAAAGCCCTAGTGTGGGATGCTACTTGCGTAGACACTCTGGCGGCCTTTTGCCTTTGTCTCTGATCTCAGGGGTACCTCGTTTAGAGCCGGGGCGGCATGGCAGGGTTGCCTTTGTCTCTCACCTCAGGGGTACCTCGTTTAGAGCCGGGGCGGCATCAGAGGCAGCTGAACTGAGTAAGTGGCGCAAATATGAGTCTCTGAGAGATGACTACATATTTGTGGCATTTGCTGTAGAGAAAATCGGTCCGTGGAGTCCACGTGCGGTAAAGTTACTAAAGGAACTCCATTTGCGGCTGGTCATAAGAGGGCTTGCTCTTTTCTCGCTCAAAGGCTAAGTATAGCCATTCAGCGGAGAAACGCCACCATTCTTGGCACGATACCGCGGGGAGAAGGACTGTATTATAATTAAGTTACTAGTTTTAGGTTTTTTTTACTATAGTTTTTAATATTATTTTAAGTTATTTTTGTTTTATTACGCTAAAGAAATATAACTTGCTACGTGCGTACATAAGTACACACATACGTTTTTTTATAAAATTTAAGTGACAAACGAACTGATGGTAAGTGGATAGTATGTTCTGCAGTGCATGGATGCATCTGTAGCTTTAAGGGGCTACTCCATGCGAACGACCTTGAGCATTTGGTGTGCCGCGCCGTCTCGCTACAATATAATATCACGTAAGAAATATGTAAGGCGCCACCTACTGTAAGAACGTAGTATTTTTTCAACATCAATAAACTATTTTATGGAAATACACACAGCGTACAACGATAAATGTATCTCAAATTTTTTATTCGGTATATTAGTTGCATTATATTAGAGTTATGTATTCTCATATAATATTATCTAATTATGAAATTTTATAATTAATTAAGTATATATTAAAAATGAAGCATTGAAAATTGTGAGTTTAAAAGATACCTACTCACTATAGGTAAATAGATAGATAGCTCGCCTTTTGTACAAATATTTGGTGCAATAAAGAATAAATAAATAAATAGGATGTTTCGCAGAGTGAGAGTAATATAGAATGAGAGTCGTGGAGGCAGTTTACAAACATAAATTGCACAAGGACAAACATCCAGACCCGGAACAATTATTTGTAGGCCATACAAATACTTGTTCCGTGCGGGATTCGAACCCGCGGCCCCCAGTGCAGCAACTGATTGCTAAGCCAGTGCGCCACGGAGCCGTCGCCGGTTTATAGCTAAAGTGACCATACGTCCCGTTTTGAACGGGACTGTCCCTTTTCTCAGTCACCTGTCCCATTGTCCCCAAACAAAGCTCCGGGACACAAAATTGTCCCGTAACTCGTTGGATGGAAGTATTCAAAGTCAACAATCTTCAACATAATTTTTTTTATTTTGAACAAATTGTGGACGTCTGAAAGAAACACTTACGGTTCCAGTTCTAAAGGCGATGTTGTTAACAAAGGTAACAATAAAAAAACTTAAGCAGAATTTTATTCTTATTTAAAATTATCACCAACTATATTAAAGCAAATTTAATCCACTGACAAATGTAATTAATAATTAAAAAAAATATGTTGCATTTAATAATTACCGTCTATACCGAATATAATTTTATATTGAACACTAATTGTGTAAAGTTATAGTTTTTAGAGTGTAAATAAACCCATGTCCTGTTTTGAGTTAAAAAATAAATGGTCACTTTAGTTTTTTTTAGTTAAATTTAGTTTAAAAATTTTTTAGTTTATAGTAAAAAGTAGGTATATTAATACCTACTTAGATACTTTTTACCGAATTAGGGTAGAAGCCCCTAATACCAGTCATGCCCCTAATTGCAGTCTTTTCGCCTTTTTACTCCATAAATAAGATTTCTAGTAGTCTTAACTACAAATATTTTCATCTAAAAATTCTTTGTACCTAGAGGAAACTATATTTATTCAAATATTACCTCGCAGTTTTAAACCTAACAGTGTTAAAATCAAAACAGGTACGCAACGAAAAACGATCATTTTCCTAATTATTTGACAAGTTATGATCCCGGTAAAATTATGCTTACTTTACATTATCTCATATATAGGCTTTTTGATTTGTATGAATATGACTATAGACATAGTAATGCAGTTATTTTTGTTTGAATTTACAACTTATTTATTTTCTTTTAGTGAAAATTAATGGGACTGTAATTAGATAATATAAGAAATGTATGGAGTGCATAATGTCAGCCGCCCGGCTGTTATTTGGTTTGACGTACCTAATAAGATGTACCTAATTTCAGCCACGTAATATAAATCAGAGCTGCCATAAACTGGAATAAATACCATTAATTAGATCATAACTTATTTTATAGCTAAGGGAGTTATGATCAATTCGTCTGTTTTAAAATTGGTTTTAGATTTTAAAGTTTAGCAAAAGACGTACTAGCTTTTCTCTCTGACATTCGGCGTATAGAACATCTTATGTACTCAATTATTTTTTTTTTTGAAAAAGAAGAAAAAACAAGCAATAAATAAAAACAAAAACGGGCAAAAAACTCTTAACTGATTTTTTGACAAGACCCGGGATTCGAAACCGAGACCTCATGATCAGCACTCGCACTGCTACAACCACTAGACCAACGAGGCGCTACTATACCTAATAAGATATTGTGGTTGGGTGATAATATTGAATTAGCCTTTTATAGTGTAAATTATAATATTTGTCGAAATTTTAATTATGGATTCGAACCTTACATGCTAATGGTGCTTCATTTTTTTATTTGCATTTACTTCAAAGAAAATACACGCAAAAAGCTTCATTGCGCAGTAAAAAACACAACAAATATATGTGTATAACTAATACGAAAAATTATACCCAAAACAAACAAATAATACTACCTATAAATAACCTAATAAGTAATATTATTATCGACTAATATGACGTGAGTGTATGTGCTGGTCGACGCTCTAACGACACGGGCTTCGCGTCGAAGAGCTCAGGGCTCACTGACTTTAGCAAGCCCGTGAGCAGTGAATATGCCCAGATTTTAAAATAAATTCTTAATAAAATCAAATTTTGGTCTTTTGAAAAAAAATTTACTATAGAAATGTTCATTAATAAATTGCCTATCCATTGGTGTAAATCGCAAAATAAAATAATACTTACTTTATGAGGAGATGCATGTTATCAATAATAATTTCACATTTATGTGGTTTCGTTGTAAGGAGATTATATTAATATTTATTACTTTAAAAAAAAATTGGATATAGCTTTTATGGAGTCAAGATTATGTAGAAATATAATGTGTTTTTTATTTGTTGATATATCTTTTAAATAAAAAGTAGATAGCTCCTAAAAACTTCACAAATAACGACTAGCGCGACATTTTGCTCAACCTGCGCCTTAAGGTGACTGGAAAGACCAACCACTCATTATTTGTTAAAGCAAAACATATATATCCCCGAAACCTATGTGAACCAGACAAATTTGTCCTAAATGTTATTCCTAGGCTCGTTAATTATAACATAAATTGTCTAAATATTTGTTTGAAAATATATAACAAAATACCTAAAGAATTTAAATTATTAAGCGATTGATTATAAAAGAAACATTTGGTGTAATTATTAGTTGAAAAGTAAAAGCTTTTTTGATAGTAATTTTTTTATAGGAGAGGGGGCAAACGAGCATGCGGCTCACCTGATGGTAAGTGACTACCGCCGCCCATGAACAACTGCAACACCAGGGGAATTGCGGATGCGTTGCCGGCCTTTTAAAAAGGAGTGGGCTCTTTTCTTGAAGATCCCTAAATCGTATCGGTCCGGAAAAATCGCTGGTGGTAATCGATTCCACAAGGAAGTTGTGCGAGGGAGAAAACTTCTTCTAAATCGCACAATGGTGGACCGCCAATCATCCAGATGGTATGGATGGTATCGCAAGTTTTGTCGCGATGTGCGATGGTGAAATTGGGCGACTGGAATTAGTCCGAACAATTCCTCAGAGCACTCCCCGTGATAGATGCGATAAAATACGCAAAGAGATGCAACATCTCTACGCAGTGCCAGGGAGTCAAGCCGATCGGAAAGAACTCGGTCGTCGACGATTCGAACCGCTCTGCGCTGGATGCGGTCAAGTGGAAGGAGCTGGCACTGGGGAGCCCCTGCCCAGAGATGGGAACAGTATTCCATGTGAGGCCGAACCTGCGCCTTCTAAAGTTGCAAGCGGTGTGCCGGCATGAAATACTGTCCCGCTCTGCTGAGCACGCCAAGCTTTTTAGAGGCCAATTTGGCCTTCTCTTCCAAGTGACCACGAAACTGCACGTCACTCGATATGTCGACACCGAGGATCCCGATACTGGCTGAGGCAACAAGGGGAGTGCCTTGAAACTGAGGAGGTACGACAAAGGGGTTCTTTTTAGCAGTAAACGCGCAAACTTGTGTCTTCTGGGGATTGAACTGGACTAGATTTAGTCGACCCCAGTCAGTCACTTCAGACACAAGTTTGTTCTGGTACTTGGCGACGTTTTCCCGAGAAATATTGGCACGGCCGGTGTATAAAGCATCACCAGTGCTATTGTCCGCATAGCAATGAATCTTACCGGTTTGCAACATATCATTGATATGCAGAAGAAACAGTGTTGGTGATAGCACGCAGCCTTGTGGAACACCAGCATTAATGGACTTGTAATCGGAGCATGCACCGTCTACTACGACCTTGATGCTCCGATCTGCAAGAAAACTGGTGATCCAATTGCACAATTTCTCGGGAAGCCCATAGGAAGGGAGCTTCGAAAGAAGCGCTTTGTGCCAAACCCGATCGAAGGCCTTCGCTATGTCCAAACTAACGGCCAACGGGGATTCCAAGGGGGAGGCCCTTGGACTCCACTGCCTCTACCCATCTATGAGTTAGGTAATCTAAAAGATCACCAGCTGAGCGACCTCGATGGAAACCATACTGGCGGTCACTAATCAGCTGGTGATCTTCAAGGTACCGCATGAGCTGGCTATTAATAACGGTTTCCATTACTTTGGAGAACAAGGAGGTGATAGCGATAAACCTGTAGTTGGACGGATCTGAGCGGTCACCTTTTTTAGGGATCGGGTGCACCAAAGCTGTCTTCCATGAGTTCGGGACTATACCAAGGGAGTAGGAGTACCGGAAAAGACGCGTTAAAACCGGTGCCAACTCCGGAGCACACGTCTTCAGCACAATAGGTGGGACTCCATCAGGTCCACTCGACTTGTTGACGTCCAGGGAGAGGAGTACTTTACGCACCGAGCGCTGTGTAAACAGCACTTCCTGCATGGAGCACTCACACCACGGGATGGTCGGTGGTGTATTCCCCCCGTCATCTAGAGTCGAGTTGGAAGCAAAAAGAGAGCCTAGCAGATAGGCTTTCTCTTTTGCGTCATGGGCCAGTGAATCGTCCACCCTATGCAGAGATGGCAGAGATGGCTGACAGAAGTTTCTCGGACAGCCTTGGCGAGAGACCAGAATGTACGTGTTTCCGAAGGGAGGCGAACTAGTTTCTCGCCAATTCTGCCGATGTGCTCTGACTTTGCCTTGGCAATGACACTTTTAAAGGACCGGGAGGCGGAATTATACTTCTTTTTAAGAGCGCTAGTGTTTACATCGCGGGACGTTGATGCGTCAGCCCAGGTTCGGTAGCACTCCTGCTTATAGCGTGATGCAATTTTGCAGGAATGACCAAACCATGGCTGATTTCTACCTCCGATAGTCATCACAGATGATGGAATAAATAATTCCATTCCCTGAAGTACCACATCAGCGACAGAATCAGCAACAACGTTGGGATCATCCGGCGAGAAGCAAACCCGCCCGCAAGAGTAGGATACAAAAAAAGACCGCATCCCATCCTAATCGGCCGACCTATAGTGCCAAACACGGCGGCAAGCTGCAGATTGCAATTGCGATGGGAGCGTGAGTGGCACCATACTCCGGATCAGACAATGGTCCGAAGAGCCCAGAGGGGCATCGACGGAGATCTGATATCCGCCCAGATGAGAGGTCAGCAGAAGGTCCACCAGGGAAGGTACATGATCCTCCACATCTGGAATCCGCGTAGGCGAAGTAAAGTAGTCGCTGTCTACGCGTAGCCATAGGGTGGACAGGTCCTTACCTTCAAGACTGCCGAGGCGTCGAAAACAGATGTCCTATCTGACGTACACGCAAACTCCAGCACGGGGCACAAACGAGTGTTCTAATTTGTACCCTGGGTAGGAGAGATACGAAGTATCAGCTGGAGAGGACACCTGTGTCTCGGTTAGAAAGAGCAAGGCCGGCTTTGCTATCTCCAGATAGTAGTGGACGGCGTTAAGGTTTGAATGAAATCCCCTGATATTGCAGAAATCCACGGAAAGCGTGGCAGGGGTTGCCTTTGCCTTCTTGCTCTTCTTGCTTAAGACCAGAACGCTGCAGTGAAAACACTGCATTTGGTGGCAGAAATAGTTAAGAGGGTGGTACCTATCACCTAGTAGACCATTGCTTAACTGTATGAGGCTGCCACCCGAGAATCTTTCCTCCCCATCGGTTGTCCATTCCTCGAGTTATATGGCCAGCACATTGCCACTGGTCTGACAAACAATGTTGGTTACTCGTGTTCTACTGCGGATATCCGCAGGTATCTTGAGCTTCATCACTAAGCCAGGAGTGAAGGATCACATCTCAGAACTTTATGTCATCACCGGCAACATGCACTGGTTGTTAACTCTTGTTTTCAACTTTTGAAGAATATATATGTGACAAAGAATTATGTCATAATCTCCTGATATAATAAATGATCATATATCAAATCACTGGACCGGCAATGAGCAATGTTAAAGATGCAAAAATTTAAGCTTAAAAAAACCTGCAGAGTTATAATTGAAGACCATTGGGCAATATATAATATTAGTTCAATTATTGGAAAACAAATTTAAACCCACTTTTATTGCTTTTGTTTGGAAAGTATGTGCAACATAGGCAAATGTTTAAAATAAAAATTGAAAATCTATTAATTACATAATATATAAAAAGAGGATTATCACCTTATCCTTCAATACACGCAGTCCCTTGAAAAATGGTGTTGAAGTAAAATAAAATGTTTAAAATCTATCAAGTAGAATAGAAGTGCAAGAAAAAATAGTTTTATATGTAAATTCTATAATCTTTTCATTATGATTTGTCTTTAATGCACATCCTGTATATGGTCCTTTCATATCCTAAGGAAGATTTATCATAACTGTCAGGCTTTGCAGGCAGATCTATGATTGTTGTACCAGATGTCTTGCACCTTTGATATAATTTTCTTTTATAACAATACAAACACATGTTAAGTATGTATTTGTTCTCAAAATTTAATAAAATAAATAAAAAAAGAAGGTTTATTTAACAAACACCTTGAATATATCGGCTTTCCCGCAGAGCTCAGAATGAATACATGTTTCTCTTTATTTACTAATTCTGGCGATTGTAAATATTCATCTTTATCACTATCCACACCGTCTCCATTCTGATCTGTTAGGTTTGAACTACTTGCTGATGATGACATAGCTTCCTGAAAACAGATTAACTTTAACAATCACCATCATGTGTTAAAGTGTACACCACAAGCAGATGGAATTTCATACATTGACCTTATAGTAAGTTCATTTTATAATTTATCAAGTGTGACTAAAAATAAATTCAGACCTATGAATGTTTCTTTAATGAAGGTGGTTGTTTGCTAATACAAAATATGGATAAGCTAGTTGATATAAAATTTATTCCGACTTCTGAACTATCAATAATATAAGAATCTACTATTTTACATTATTCTCATGGTGGCATAAACCCATCATTCTCAAATTCATTATCCCATCTCATTCCTTGGGCGTTGAAAGAGGTTATTTAAGGAAATACCTAGATCTTAATGGTGATTGATGAAGCTTTAGTCATCTTTACACCAAATGTTAAATACAGTAAAAGCTCCTTATTCGTCCCTCCTTCATTCGAGTATTCAGTATTCGCGGATCAAAAAAATGCGACTCAATTCCTATATTATATTAAAGATTTCTTTATTCGCGGATCTAATTGGTACATACATATTAATAAAAATTATTCCAATAGATATTCAACCTAATACTTTTTATAAACCCGTTGTCAAATGGACTAATAAAAAAGTAAAATATGTAGACCTTATTACAAATATGTTTAAAGTACGTTGTTAAACAATATGTCAAAGGCCAAACCAATACAGGTTCGGCCTTTGACATAAGCTGCCTTCGCCACGGTTGGAGACTCTTGAGAATGTAAACAAACAGAACGGAAACAACCTTATTGCTCAATGCATAAAGTATTTTTTAAAATGCTGTTACATATTAGACGTTCTGTCTTTTGATAAGAGCAGTTTTGCGTGTTTTATTGTTTCATCTTTCCATTCGTTACAAAAATTATGATCGAGTCACACGTCTCTACTGCTGTATTCCTAATTTATAATGTCGACTAAAAAAATTAAAAACGAGTCGACGCGAAACACATCTGTGTTACCGCTTAAAGTGAAAATAGAAATGCTTGATCGTTTATGCCTTGGCGAGTCGTTTGCTACCATATCACGCTCTCATTCAATGTCAACGAATCAACTGTACGATGGATAAAAAATCCGAAGATAAAATAAGGTCATCTGTAGCTTCAACTTCACTGTCAGCGAAAATTGTTCGTGATGAAATTGAAAAATGGAAGTGGCGTTGTCATTATGGATCGAAGACCGCAACCAAAAAAGGCTGCCCCTGAGTGGTCCAATGGTCCGTGAGAAGGTAAAGCGTCTTTACGCACACTTTAAAGAACCTGATAGTAGTTGTGGTGGTGAATGTACAGATGGAGGATTTCAAGCATCGGAAGGTTGGTTCAATAAATTTAAGGTGAGACAATCAAAGCATAGCATTAAAATCGTTGGAGGAGCTGCATCTGCAGACAATACTACAGCAGAAAGATATCCAGAGGAATTTGAAAACCTAGTAGCTGATTGAGGAAACAAACCTGAGTAAGTATTTAATGTAGACGAAACTGCACTGTTTTGGAAGAGACTGCCAGACAAAACATTCATTTCTAAAAGCGAAAAGTCTGCCCCAGGATTTAGGGCAGCAAAGGATAGAGTTACACTGCTGCTATGTTCTAATGCATCTGGAGATTGTGTCATTAAACCACTGATGCTTTACAGATCGTTAAATCCTCGTGATTTAAAAAACCAAAACAAGGACAACCTGCCAGTGTTTTGGCGTGCTAATAAGAAAGCGTGGGTTACAAACAAGCGCAATTCTTTGTGACTGGTTCTGGAATTGTTTTGTTTCTGAAGTTGAATTTTATTTAAAATAAATTAAAAGTATTTTTTTTAAAACAAGCTTTTATTTAAATGCGCTAAAAAGAATAAAATAAACTTTTCCTTTAAAACTTTTACTATAAACTTATAACGTCATTACACAATTTATATGATAAAATGCTTGTCGCGAGATTTAAGTTTCTACTAATTTCTACTTTTAAAAATTTTTAAAAATTAAAATCAATCAGATTCTGTTTATCTACAAAATATAAAAATAAATTGTGTAATGACGTTATAAGTTGATAGTAAAAGTTTTAAAGGAAATGTTTATTTTATTCTTTTTAGCGCATTTAAATAAAAGCGTGTTTTAAAACAAAAGTTTTTTTTTACTTTTAATTTATTTTTTACTTTTTAGTTATTGCTGGACAGGTTTCTCAGTCTGATCATCTCATTCAACGCATCATTGTTGCAGGGTCGTTTGTCGGTTAATTTCGAACAGTCTAGCTCTTCAATAAGGAGACCTAATGATTTTACCCTACTTAAGGCCACATATGCTTGACCAGCAGCGAAGAGCTTCGAACCTAAGTATACAACGGCATGGTCGACAGTATTACCCTGCATTTTGTGCACTGTGCAAGCCCAACATAATATAATTGGCAGCATTCTTCGTTCTGCAGTGCCGTGACTATATTTTGCTGGAAATTGTACAGTCTTGGGTTTAATGAGATGAACACCGTCTTTACCGAAGTCTGTACGGACAGATGGTATGTCAGTAACACACATTTGTGCTCTCTGGAAGCAGGGCCATATGATTTCTGTAATATGGTCCAATGGCACCATTCACCAGACCTTTGGACAGTCAAAGTTTACCAACCAATGCTACAGACTCGAGCAATTCAACCTCAATATCATATTCGAGGACTCCAAAAACTTCAGTACATCAACATTTCAGACGGATTGACATCATGTTACACCCTGATGATACTCAGTCCTCGGCACAGCCTCACCTTGACTCAAGTGTTTGGAGGAATGCACTACTTATTTCAGCTTGAAGCTTACTTGTGCCTTATGAAACACAATTCCAGGTTTGACTTTGGAGTTACCCTTCTCCTAGACAGGTTGCAAACCAATGCTGTTGATGCCTATCTCGCCAGATTACAAAAGTCAAAGTTAACCAACCGATGTTACAGACTTGAACAATTCGACCTCAATATCATTATTGAGGACTGCAAAGACCCCAGTACACCAAAATTTCAGATGGATTGGAGCAACCGAGTTTATGATCACCATCATATTTTGTCCTTTTAAGTCCTTTCATTTGATACCCATTTTGTAGGAAAGCATAAAAAACTTAAACCGACATCTTTAGAAGTCCGCCATATTGGATTTAGAGAGTGACGTCACTTTATTTTTCGAGTTATACTAAGCAAACCCTTTCATTTGATACCCATTTTGTAGGAGTGCATTAAAAATAACTAGTCCGCCATCTTGGATGTTCCGCCATGTTGGATTTAGAATGACGTCACATAGCTAACCATGCATTGTCATCCAAACTTAAAGTGTATACAAAATTTTAGCTCAATCGATTGAAGATATCTGCTTCAAAATTGAGTTGCAAGATTCCACCCGAACAAACATAGTTACATTGCAAGTTAAATAAAAGCTTGTAAAAAGAATTTAGATTTTAAAACAGTTCTAATTTTGGACAATGTATCAGGTTATCCTCGTGAACTTGAAACTATGCATCCAAATATAAAAGTGACATTTTTATCTCCCAACCCAACGGCTTTGCTTCAACGTATGATGGACCAAGGAACAATCCAGACCTTTAAGCTCTATTACATTAGACAAACTTTCTAAGTGGATAATATGGAATGTAATCCTGATATGAATATTATGGAATTCTGTAAGAAATTTGACATAGCAAAATGCATAGTAAACATAAAAGAATCAATGGAAGAACTGAAGCCATACACATTGAAATCATGCTGGAAAAAACTGTGGCCTGCTCTGACTGTGGAAAATGACGAAGAATCTGTGCAAATTCAAACTTTGACTGCAAACATAGCCAAAATTGCAGATGGAATAGGACGACATGAGTTCGAACAGATGGAATCAAGTGATATTCAGGAGTTGCTTGAATCGCAAGATGAAGATTTTACTGAAACCGACTTGGAGGAAATGTTAAATTCACAGCTCATTGAAGAAGAGTCTTCAACAAGCACTGGAAACGTGACATTTAATTTGAAAAATCTTAGTGAAAGTTTAAGAATGAGTGTTGTGATTTCTTTATGAAAATTGATCCGTCTATGGAAAGAAGTCTTATTTTTAAGAGGCAAATTGCTAATGCCACTGCTGAATATCAGTCTGAATTGAAGGAGCTTTTAAAAACTGCCAAGCAAGAAAAAAATTACAAAATTCTTTAAACCTATGCCTGAAGATAATAATTAATTATTAAAATAATATATTGACAAAAACTTCAATTAAATTGATTTATTTTAATTATTTATTGGTTTTTTATTTTGTCACCTAGGAACGTATCCCCTATAATTCCATATAAATTAAAATTCTATATTCACGGTTTTTGTATTCGCAGCATATTACGGAACATATACCCCACGAATAAAGACCTTTTACTGTAATCAACAACAGCAATGGTGCAAAAGTATGAGATGTTTGGTTTTGCAATCACCAATCTGCCTACCAAGTGTCAATAAAGGCAAATCTTCTCTGAAACAGGAGAGGCCCATGTCTAGCTATGGACTTCACCTTTAAGGCAGTATAATGGTAGTAATAAGAATAATATTTAAATAATAATGTTAGAAATATAAAACATGAATTGCCAAAAATAAGTATAGCTATATAACAATGTTTTTTTCATAGAATTAGGGTGACAAACGAGCACACAGTCCACCTGATGGTAAGTGGTTGCTGTGGCCTATAGACATCTACATCTATCTTTGTTTGCAAATTAATATGCAGATGCGTTGTCAGCCGTGAGGACTATGATAGAATGTTTCTTTTCCGGTAAAATGGGTCTTCGGTTCTCTACTCTCACCATACGAAACACAGCAGCATTGAGCTGCTATTTTACGCTGGTATTCTGTGAGAGTGTGGTCCTTCCCTGGTCGAGCCTACCCATTCGTGCTACAACTATATTCAATCTTTTATTAATATAGCTGCAGCAGCACCACACCTAAAATATGTACAATATTTGTGGCTGTATTTCAATCTATTAATCCAGCTATAGTAAGTTGATATGGCAGCCCATGCTATATCCACAGAAAATTTTATATTTTAAACCAATACTCCATTTTTTTTTTATAATAAGGGTGACAAACAAGCACACTGTCCACCTAATGATAAATTAATGCTGTCGCTGTGGCCCATAGACATCTACATTTATCCTCAATTACAAAATAAAATACAGACATATTGTCACACCTGAGGACTGAGAATGCCTCGTTTTCAGTAAACAGAGTCTCTAGTTTTCTACACTCATCATTTGGACCACAGAAGCATTATGCTACTATTTTACGCTGATATTCTATGAGTGGTCTACCACAAATGAATCCATACTTTTCAAACATAAACAATACAGTGGATGTGTTAGTTTTCGCAACATTAACAGGATTAAGAATATAATACTTACCCACATGGAATCCTGAGAGAAGGAATCCCACCACTTTATCATCATTATCATCATCATTACAGCCTTTCACCAGTCCATTTCTGAACTCAGGTCTTTCCCTAGCAGTGCCACACAGTGCAGTTAAGCTACATGCAACCATCAACTACCTGCCACTTAGCAGTTATTAAATAATAAACGCAATCCTAAATAACGATAAAATGTACATCCATATTTCACGTTATTTAGGACCTACATGGAAGAATTTTATTATTTTAGTAATGTACATCACAGTTTTACCTTAGATAGGTTACTGAAGTTAATAAAAGAACACAATTGGTAAATAAACTCACATCTTTGCCCTTTAAATCATCACTGGATTTCACTGTTTTCATGTCTTTTGATGATTCACCTATCTCGCTTTGAATTTCACTGATAGTACTACACTTTGTCGTGAGTGAAGAATGTCTTTCTTGGGGATTGGAACTCATTTCTGTTTCGAACTCTTCGAAGGAATCTGTAGGATTGAGAACGCTTTCTGGACAAGCGCCTGGTAGCAAGTCATCGTCAATATCTTCCTGACTGGTTACATTTGTGGAAACAGTATCTTTGGAGGTAGATGCCATTATTGAATGTTAAATAAATTCCTGTATATACTTATTATACTCTTTGCATAAGACACCCACCCTCCTACTCCTGCATATTTCGTTTCGTTTTTTTGGAACGCCACTAAAACTAATGTCAATTTGACATTTGTTGACATTAATGACACTAGATTAATAACTGGCTTTACGGCTCTGGGATCTAGCCCTTCTGAGCCTGAAGTTACAATATATTATAATAATTATCCTTCATAGTATACTGCTTCATGATATGTTGATGCGTCACATTGTGCAGCCCTTGGGAGATTTTGACGGCAACTTGAGCCAGCAGACAGCTGATGGTTGGCGATGGTATCTCAAGGCGCCTAAGCAGACAGACACCTTATTTTGAGAATCACATCACGATCAGAGCACTTGTTTCACAGTTTCCACTAATAGTTCACATGCGCAGACACTTAATGCACAAAATCGCACCACATTTACATATCAAAGTCCATTTCAAACCATTATTTAAACAATAATACAGGAGCAGCAAACCGCCGCCGGTCAAGTTCCAGCCAATAAAACCAATGACACTAGACAGCATAGATAAATCTTCGAGCATAGAAAATAAATAGATATGTAACAAGCTACTAGCTAGACCATAGACTTAGGATATACTTACGCCACTATATCCTAAGTCTATGAGCTAGACAGTATAGTACATAGATATAGTATAAACTCATGGAGTTAATATTATATCTATGGTAAAGTAGACAGTAAATACTACCACTAACAGCCTAACAGCATAGTAAAGTGCGCGCAAGGTAACTCTGCGCGCGGCCAAAATTGAAACTAATCGTGTGCCACCATCTTACTGTTTATGGCAGGTGTCAAAACAGAGTGTTAGGTGTCGTGTTTTTATTCGTTATTGAAGTAAATAATCGTCATCATTATGCCGAAAGTGATTAAAATTGCTGGCAGGGATGTTATCTTGAAGGTCAAAAGTGCTTGTGAAGCAGAACGACAATAAGGCCCGCCACATACATACGGAATTCCGTTTCGAGATCCCGTTTCGGAATTCCGAACGGTCGGCCACGCACAAACGGAATCCCGTTTTGCCCGCAAAACATCGAACGGAAAACTACCGTACATGTGTGGCAGGTCATAGATTTTATATGGATTTGCTGCGGTCGGGATTCCGAATCGGAATATCGAAACGGAATCTCGAAACGGAATTCCGTATGTATGTGGCCGGCCTAACGGACATACGTTTTCCAAAGTTAGAGCCTACGATTCATATTTCACAGGTAATTTTTAGGGCTGCCATAACAAATAAAACTCCCTAATTTTCTCGATTTGTTCATTTTTAGTTTCCTCGTGTCATTAATATCATGTATTTATAATGCATTGTTTTTATTATATTTTAAGCGTTTCTGAACGCACCGTCACCCAAATAACTCAAGAGGGTCCATAATGCGTTTCTAAAATAGTGACGCCGGCAAAAACTAGGAAAAAATTATGGTTTAGACGATTTTCATATGTGGCGCTATAAGGTATTTAAATTTATCGTTTGACGTCGTGAAGAAAGAGATTCCTGCTATAAATAAACTTTGGTTGGAATTGAAAGCTGATATTGATTTTAAATATGGCAGAACATCGTCGAGTAGTAGCTTAAAGACTATGGGCTACAAATACAAAAGGTGCCAGTTTAAACGAAAAGTATTGATAGAACGTAGTGCAATATCACAACTTTTAGAACAAAATATATTCTAAGAAGAATATATTTTCTCTATCCTATTAGGTATCTAATATGTATTATCTAAGAATCGTCAGGAATTTGTGCCAAATCTACCAACAAATTGCATCGTAGTGACGGATATTGCGTCATACCACACAAATAAACAACAAAAGCAGAGTTCCAAGAGTGGATTACGAGAAATGGATGATTGTTGGACAAAAGCGCAATTATACGAATTTGTCAAAAAACACAAAGGGGACCCACAGTATGAAAAATAACAAATGTTAAATGAACATGGTCATGAGATTCTCCGTTTGCCGCCTTACCTACCGCGATTTAAGTCCCATCGAAAAAAATTTGGGCAATAATAAAGAAGCGCATTGCAGAGAAATATCACTCAAGTTCCTAGCGAAATAGCCGCTATTACTGAGGTGGCTTTTAGAACAGTAACGACAGAAGAATGGCTCAATGTACGTCTACATGTAGAAAAAATAGGTGATAAATATTTCGAATCAGATAGGCTGATTGATATGGAAATGGATAAATTTATAATTAATGTCACATGCGACACATCCGAGTCTTATGATGAAGACTCTAGCATGGATTCTGATGAAGATGTGCGAATGGAAGGCCACTAAAGGACCATTGTAACACCAAATTTACAAATAGATCTAGGACTTTTAATTTCGTTCTTGAACTTCATCAGTGCTTGCTTCAGAATTTGTAATTTTTATAAGGCTTATTATTAAGCCATGGACATACCTTTTTAATTCGGTGGCCGCACTTTCGTTGTTAAAACATACAAGTTTAAATCGTGGGTCCAACAATGTACACACTCCGAAGCTCTTACTGTGCTCTATTCCCTGAAATCTATCTTTCAATCCGTGTTTTAAACTCCGTATTACGTCAATCACAACTGGATTAAATGATGCGAAATATTCTACTTTATTAAGAAAATCTTCACAAATATCCTTCATGAAGTTGGTCATGACTATGACCATACTTCCTGTGAGGTACTGATCTCCACTTACTGAAGAAGTGACCTCTTCAAATGGCTGGAGTACTTTGTATACGTCTTTCATTATGTCCCAGTTCTCTGAACGTATAATCGGCCATTCTCTTTCTATAAGAGCCATGCAGTGTTTAACGGTAATATGAAACAGCGAAACATAAAAAACGGCTCCGTGGCGCAGTGGTTTAGCAATGAGTTACTGCGCTGGAGGGCGCGGATTCGAATCCCGCACGGAACATTTGTATGGCCTACAAACGATTGTTCCGGGTCTGGATGTTTGTCCTTGTGAAATTTGTGTTTATAAAATGCCTCCACGATACAGGAGAGAACCCTAGTGGGGGACATTTTAAAAAAAAAAAAATGTAGAGTTCCACCTTGTAGGTTCTTGTTGGATTAACCGTTTTGGTTCTCCACTATCAATTATGTTTTTTAATTGGTATCTAAGAAGCATATCCGTTGCATTTGTACTGCGTTTAAAATGTACCACTATTTTTTTTACATATTCTATTAATTTTAGTAATGGTCTCCTCGACACGATCAAATTAAGGGAATGGGCATAACAGCCATAATGCTTTCACCCTAGCTCTGTCTCTATTGCTTTGACAATATTTCGAGCATTGTCTGAAATAGCAAAATTTACTATGCGTGTTAAATTCCATTAGTCCATTACTCTCTTTAATTCCTTAGCTAAATTGGCACTCGTGTGAGTTTCGTTAAGAACTTTACATTCTAAAAGTATTTGTTGTGGTTCAAAGTTTTTGTCTATATAATGGACTGTTACGCCAATGTGGCTTTCAGTCTGGAACGATGTCCAACAATCAGTCTTTTCTTCACTTAAAGTGGTCTGATACAATGCCGAGATCATAGCAGAAGATTTATTTTTCTACTAGGCAAAGTGTATCCCGGGATATTTTTTTTAAAGCCTTTGTCTTCAATAATTCGGAAAGGTTGAAAATCTGTTATAACTCTAACAAATCACGATCTACTCGTTTACTTTCTTCTGGGGACATTTTTTTAATAATATAATTTTACATAGTTCTTTGCCGTTTTTGACTGACAATCTGCTCTGGAATCTGGGAAGCTGTCTCCTTGTCAGCGACCGTGGCAACTTGAATTGAGCCACCCGTATCTCTAGATGTACTCGCCAAACACTCGATAGTCCCAATTTGCTGATTATTTCCTAAATCGGTACTCACCTTTTGCACCAAATAAATTGAAGCGTGAGATTGTTTTAAATCAGTTCCTAGGTTACCCGATGTAGATTTATAAGATATATTTTGATTGTAATATTTACACACTGCAACTCCAGTAGCATTTACTTTTTTATCAAAATGAGTCCATATCTCACTGGGTTTTCGCGACATATTGAGAATCAAACCAGTTCTCGTCTAATCAATTAAAAAGTCTAAATAAAAAACTTAATAGTTAAAATAAAAAATATTTAAATGTTATATAAACTTACTCATATAAATACACTACCGTACCTAAGTTGTTACCTACTTTATTTTTTCTTTTTGTACTTAATTCCTCTGCGCGTTACATTTTTACGCACATGGCTCCTACCAAAACGCCTGACAAAGTATGTGGACTTCAAAGTTAACTAGCCTACTTTCAGCAGAGCCATTAGTGAGGCAGTGGCTGCTCTAAATCAACCTCAGATTATCGGAAAATGGATTAATTTCCCAAATCGTCCTCAAATGGAAGCAACGGTTTTTAAGGTAAATTTCAAGATTTAAATTGCACAGGTACCTATAGCATACTTATTCATATGAATCTGTAGGTAGGTATTATCAAGTATATTATATGTATTAATCAGCAAGTAAACACTTCAAAAATTATGGCAATCTTTTCCCAAGCAAATTTAAATTAAATACCTTCTACCATCTAGAAATAAACCATGTGGTTTTCATACAGTAGGCAACTAAGGGTCAAACCAGGAAAAAAGCAGCAGCAGTATATGCCGTCTTCCTAAAATCCCGAAACCAGCTAAGTATAAGGCTAAACCCCTTATGAGAAGGATCATGCCCAGCAGTGGGACATAAATATGTTTATAATAAGTTTGTCAAAAAAATGAATGAATGATAAATACTTTCATATTACATAAATGATTTATTATTGTAATATTTCAATAAAAATTACAACGTATTAAAATTTTAAAAATATAACTATGCACATTTACTTATTCTACTACTTATATATTATAAATAATTTTTCAGTCTTGACATTAAACAGTCAACAAACGATATGTAGGTACTTAAAAGAAATCAACATTAATTAAATAGCAAAATACCTACAAATAAAAAAATAACAATTAACTTCTAAGGAGGTACTTAATTATCTAGACAGATAGTTTTATCCTTTGAATGTCTAAAAAGATCACAATCACAGTCTAATTTTAATTTGCAGAATATACCAAAAACTTGGTATTCCTGGAGTATTGGGCTATATTGATGGCACTCATATACAACTTAAGAAGCCAATACAACATTAAGAACTCTATGTAAACAGAAAAGGTGAACACACCCTTAATGCAGAAATGGTAAATACATTAGATTTCACACATGACTATTCTGTTTTGTTGATCCCTCAGGACCATGCCATTTATATTTAAGTACACATGCCTTACAAAATTTCAGGACAATCTGTTATGGACTTTTTTTTAATAAGATTATTATGACTTCTGTATATTAATGCAAGTGATAAATCTTTACTAATTTAATTCGCTTTTTATAGGTTTGTGACAGTTCCTTAAAAATATTAAATATGTTCGCACGATATCCAGGTGCTACACACAATTCCTTTATATGGAGGTTTAGTCACTACAAAAGTTGATAATCAACCTTAATGGTGAAGGCAGTATTTGCTGGCTTTAAGGTAAATAATATTTTTGATAAATCTGAAACAAATAATCTCAATTTAAAACAGTATTGCTGTGTTCTAGTTGTTAATTTCAATTACAGGCGATTCCAGGTATTCCTTGGAGCCATGGCTTCTCACACCGATCTTTAATGCTGAAGAAAACACACCTCAAAATCGGTATACCGAGTACCGACACCCATATAGAGTCAAGGATCTGTATTGAGAGGTGTTTCGGTGTACTTAAATCAAGGTTTCAATGTCTACTGAGGAAAATGGAGTACGAACCAACAAATGTAGGCTGCATTGTAAATACATGTGTGCATAACAGGCAGGACTCACTCTTCCCGACATCATTGATGAAGATGCTTTAGCGCCAGATGCGAGTACAGCAGATGAATATAGAGACAAGCAAATATATGAGTAGGGCTTTTTAATTAAACTTAAGTAATTCATATTGAGCAAGATGAAAAATAGTATATAGTAGTATATTATATATAAAAATTACGTGTCACATTGTTTGTTCGCGATGACCTCGTAAACTACTGAACTGGTTTCAATGAAATGTTTCACAATGTGTGCAGTTTGGTCCAACTTGAGAGATAGGATAGTTTTTACTCCGATAAGTGACCCTCAATTTTGTTTATTATGAATTTAATGATTTTTAGGACACATGGTCATCGGAAAGGACAGAACAACGTCTGTCTGGTCAGCTAGTAATATATATATATATATATATATATATATATATATATATATATATATAGTATATAATATATATATCGAATAGAATGGTTCTCCAGCACCTTAAAAACGACAAGGCCCCAGGCGAGGATGGAATTACGGCGGAGCTTTTGAAAGCGGGTGGAAAATCGGTACTTGAAGACCTTCAGAAGCCCTTTAGTTCCGTCCTCCATGGTGGCATTACACCGGAGGCGTGGAGCAGAAGTGCGGTGGTCTTGTTCTTCAAGAAAGGTGACAACGCCCTCTTGAAGAACTACAGACCGATTTTCCTTCTGAGCCGCGTCTACGTGCTGTTTTCGAGAGTCATTACCAATCGTCTCGCGCGCAGACTTGGCGACTTCCAGCCTCCCGAAGAAGCCGGTTTCCGAAAAGGTTTTAGCACCATAGACCACATACATACCCTTCGGCAAATTGTACAGAAGTGCAAGGAGTATAATTTACCTGTCTGGCGTATGTGGACTATGAGAAAGTCTTTGATTCCGTCGAAATTTGGGCGATGGTGCAGTCCCTTCAGCGGTGCCAAGTGGACTGTCTGTATATCGAAGTGCTGAAGTGTTTGTTGTACAGTAGGGCTACGATGGCTATCCGAGTACAGAATCAGAGTACGAAACCTATCCAACTGCAGAGAGGTGTAAGACAGGGTGACGTTATATTCCCGAAACTCTTCACTGCTGCATTGGAAGACGTTTTCAAGCTTCTGGACTGGAAAGGATACGGTATTAACATCAATGGCGAGTACATCACTCACCTTCGATTTGCCGGCGATATAGTCCTTATGGCAGAATCGCTGGAGAACCTAAGCACTATGCTCAATGACCTCAATAGTGTTTCCCAACAGATATGTCTTAAGATGAACATGGACAAAACAAAGATCATGTTTAATGTCCATGTCACACCTATGCCGGTAGTTGTTGGGAGCACTAAGCTCGAAGTTGTTGACGAGTATGTTTACCTGGGACAAATAGTCCGACTAGGTAGGTCCAACTTCGACCGAGGTAAATCGGCGGATACAACTCGGTTGGGCAGCGTTCGGGAAATTACGGCACATCTTCTCGTCAGGTATACCTCAAAACTTGAAAACGTGACTGTACAACCAGTACGTGTTGCCAGTGATGACATATGGACCTGAGACGTGGTCCTTCACTGCTGGCCGGATGAGGAAGCTCAAGGTCGCTCAGCGAGCTATGGAGAGGGCTATGCTCGGAGTTTCTCTGCATGATGAACTTAGAAATGAGGATATATAATGAAGTAGCAATGGGCCGGCCATATAGCTCGAAGCACCGATAACCGATGGGGAAAAAAGGTTCTCGAGTGGCGGCCTCGTACCGGCGGACAAAGTGCAGGGTGTCCCCGCACTAGATGGAGTGACGACCTGGTAAGATATGTAGGAAGTAGATGGATGCAGGTGGCTCAGGACCGTGCTTTGTGGCATCCTTTGGGGGAGGCCTATGTTCAGCAGTGGACTTGTGAAGGGCTGTTATGATGATGATGATGAATTCATATTGATTAAAATTATTTAATTATATTGACCTACCTTAGATTAAACTTTATTAGTTGTAATGGCCATGGAGTTGAGGGCTGCAGCCAAATTGTTTATGGCTGCTGCCAAATTGTTCAATGACTGTGAGAGTTGGACCTTGGCCGCAGCTTGAGTTTCTAAGCACTCTTCAAGTCTATGTTCTACAAAACATACAACATATTAAGAGATAAAATAATAACGAAACTATAAAAAGTAATCCATATAATTACGTGTTTTTGTTGTTCTTGTATTTTCCACACCCGGAATGTGTTCAGTGCCTTCATCACTATCTTCTATATTACTTTCGGGAATCTGTAAAGACAAAACAAAATGCATTGAAATCACTGTATAATATATCCTTATTACTTCTTTCACTTATAAATTGATTGAGGATCTCTATAAGACTGTACATACCCAAGAATATGCAGATGCCCATTTCCTTAGAATGAGTTTATTCCATTATGGATATGTTACGTTTATACGTGGTAGAGCCATGCTGCAGCTATATTTGTAGTATAGTAGCACGAATGAGTCAGCTCGACCGGGGAAGGACCACGCTCTCACAGAATACCAGCGTAAAATAACAGCTTGACGCTGCTGTATTTCATATGGTGAGTGTAGAGAACCGGAGACCCAATTTACTTGAAAAAGAGGCATTCCATCTTAGTCCTCACGGGTAACGACGCATCTGCATTTTGATTCTTTGTTGAGGATAAATGTAGATGTCTATGGGCCGCAGCTACCACTTACCATCAAGTGGACAGTGTGCTCGTTTGTCACCCTATCCTATAAAATAAAATAAAATGTATGGATATGGATAGATATATAATAGTAAATTTCGAATAGCTATTGAACATACATTTAGCAACTTTTTTTTTGTAATAAATGTTTGTTGTACCAAACACAAACAAGTTAAACTACAAAGCTCCATTTCTTTTATGGAATCGAAAGACGACATGGAGATTATTGAATCCTAAAAATGAAATGTGAATGTGTACCTCTAAGGTATCGGCAACGGCAATGCCTTCTGCCGCTTCGTAGCCAATAAACGCCATTAGAGATTCCTCCATGGCAGATAGTGGTGCAGGTCTAGGGCCTCCGCCATTCTGCTGCTGCGCACGGCGGATTTTGGCTACTTTAGCCTTGACATCGCTGCGCCAGTCCTGCCAACACTATCAGATATTTGCATTAATAAGAGTAGGTTGGCTATAGACGTCAGGTACTTGATTTTAATAATGTTTTGAGTTTAGGAGGCTTGTCGTGAACTTGAACTTTTTACACTGTTTTTGGATGTCGGAAATGCATTTTGAATTAAAAACGATAAAAATAAATTTCACAAAAAAATTGCATAATTATAACAAAATGCAAATATGTCAATTTGGTCTAGTTTTATGAAGCAAATGTTTGTTACTTGATTTTAATTATGTCTTCAGTTTAGGAGGTTTGTCAGGGGTAAGCTTGAACCTTTTACACTATTTTTGAATGTCAGAAATGTTTTTTGAATTAATTACTATGAAAATAAATTTTGCTAAAAATTGCATAATATAACAAAACGCAAATATATCAATTAGATGTAAACATCTGGTACTCAATTTTAGTTATGTTTTCAGTACAGGAGGTTTGTCAGGGATAAGCTTGAACCCTTTAACACTGTGTTTGGATTTCTAAATGTGTTTTGAATTTAAAAATAAACTTCACTACTTAATTCATTACATCAAAAGTTGCATATAACAAAATGTAAATATGTCAATTTGTTTTTTTTAAATATGGTTACTCCCTCAAAATTTAGTCACTCGGACCAAGACAATCCATTTGTGGATGAAGTTGAGTCATAGTGGGTAGCAGACAGGTTTTTCAGAAAATAAAATTATAACAATTCACATTACATTGTTTCATCTACCACTATCATAGCAGAGTTTAGGGCTACCTGACTTTAGAGATAAGATAAGTCGAATCTGTACTAAAACCCAATCAGGATGCCTCAACTCTCCACGTTTTTGTAAAGCCGTAGGTGTGGAGAGAGAGAGAGCAGCCCCTGCCCGCCGTAGTAAATCGCAGGCATCTGTGAGGCTGGTCACAAAAGGCGACCAATAAGCCAAAGCTGTGGAGGTGAGCAAGGGTGCCTGCAATTTGCTACGGAAGGGTGCTGGGGCTGCACTTCCCGCAGTGCCGAAGTAAGTGGGCCAATATACCTGTGTAAAAAAAAGTCAGGTCCCAATTTAAAAAAAAAATATTACTCATAAAACATACATTTTTCCACCCGGGTCGGGTCACAGAAATGTATGGGAGCTTTCCCTGAACCCCTCGAACGCAAATACCGGATGTCTATAATATTACTTTAAGGGCTAGAATACACATTTATACTACTACTAGCTATTTAATTTAAAGAGATTAAAACCGACATATGAAATAAAAACAATTTCTAAGTGTATTCCCGAAGATTAAAAAAATAATGAAACTAAACCCAGAAAGCTCAAAATAACCATCTCATCAAAAACTCAAACAATAAACCTAAGACATCATGGCAAATAATAAATAATAGTAAAAAAATTACGGAACCTATTTCTCAGATAAAAAAAGATGATTTGTTAATAATAAACCCTAAAGAAATAGCTGAATCATTCAACAATTTTTTTATCAACCAGATCACAGATATACCAAAAAACGTATCAGATAACATCAAAAAAATTACTTACAACCCACACTCGATATTTATAACACCAATTGTACCACAAGACATAATACGGATAATAAAATCTTTAAAAAACAAATAAAGTTTTGGTTATGATGGCATTTCAACGCAAGTTATTAAAGCTGTTTGCAACAGCATATCTGGTCCTCTTAGTCATATTATTAATGTAAACATATTAGCAGGAATATTTCCCGAAGGGCTTAAAACGGTTATAGTAAAACCACTTTATAAAAAAAACAATAAAGGAGACATGTCTAACTACCGACCTATTGCTTTGCTTCCAGTTTTTTCTAAAGTAATGGAAAAAGATATTTACGAATCCATTTACGCATTTTTGGCTAAATTTAATATACTCTGCGATGAACAAAATGGGTTTCGAAAAAACAAAAACGTAAATATGGCTGTTTACGACTTATTAAAGAGGGTAATGGCTAGTGTAGATACCAGAACTCCCATATGTGCTATATATACAGACATGTCGAAAGCCTTCGATTATGTGAACCATGACATACTATTACAGAAAATTAATGCATACGGCATTTGAGGTAACATTCTTGACCTAATAAAATCATACCTGATAGGCCGCAAATAATGTACAGAGATTGCTAGAATATGCATTAAATCTAAATGTGAATGCAAATATGTTTCTTCATATAGAGAAATAAAATACGGCAGGGGAGTGTCCTTGGCCCACTGTTATTTTTACTTTATATAAACGACCTCCCATGACAAATCCATCATCCAATGGTATTATTTGCTGATGATAGTACAGCTCTAATAAAATGCCTTAATAAACATTCTTATGAAAATGATATAAACACAACGATTAAAACTATAATTAACTGGCTGAATTATAATAATTTACTAATCAACATTAAAAAAACGAAAATAATGCACTTTTATCAGAAAATTGGCACTGAAGATCTAAATATAAATTACAATTGTCAAATAATTGAAAGAGTAGATGTCACAAAATTTTTAGGTATTTCAATAGACAGTCAATTGACATGGAAGGCCCAAGCAGATGATGTATGTAAAAAAAAGTGTTTCTGCATATGCACTATATAACCTGACAAAAAAGTCAGTGTCAAAACGGTGCTAGTAGCTTACCATGGCCTGCTAGTTTCCATTTTGGGGCAACTGTGGTGATAGAGAAAGCATTTTCAAAGCCCAAAAGCGCTGCATAAGAGCAATCTTCAATTTAAAGATAACAAATAGTTGTGTTCCTATTTTTAAAGCTCATATTATTAACTTTTCCGTGTTTGTATATTTTAGAAATAGCTATATTTGTTAATATTAATCATCATTTATTTCCTACCTTAAATGAAACTCAAGTACAAACCATATCTATGAGAACACAATATAAAGATTTACTGTATACAGGAAGATTTTGAACAGCTTTATTAAAAAAAGTGTTATGAGCATGGCACCTGTCATATATAACAAAATCCCAATTTTTGTAAAAAATCATCCTATTAAAATATTTAAAAAGAGTCCTACTTCTTTGTTATTGGAAAGATGCTATTACTCAGTATCGGACTTCTTAAATGATACCAATATTTAAATAACGTTTCTGTTAATTAATTGTTTATAATATGTTGTTTGTATTAATAATTTATAATGTGTGAAGTCCGCTTTTCACTATGGGATATAATATAATATATATTACATCTCGAGATATAAATTAATATAGCTCACCATACGTTTCAGGCTGGCTTTTCACTATGGGATATAATATATATTATATCCCGCGATTGGCTTTCACACTGTGAGATATATCTTTTAACTAGTGTGCATTCGTCTTTGGTCATCGGATTACCCCCCTTTACCCCGTATACCGTTCTGCGGGGGCACGGAACGGTGTGCGGGGTACAGGGGGCGAAATATAATATGAAAATATCGCTCGGTCGATCGAAAAAATATTTATAGCTTGAGATGTAATATATATTATAGCTCAGTGTAAACGGTTCCAGATGAAATGTATGGTGAGTGATATTAATTTATATCTCGAGATGTAATATACATTATATTAAATCCCATGGTGAAAAGCGGGCTTCATATGGAACGATTTACACTTAGCTATAATATATATTACATCTCAAGCTATAAATATTTTTTCAATCGACCGAGCAATATTTTCATATTATATTTCGCCCCCTGTACCCCACATACCGTTCTGCGCCCCCACAAAACGGTGTAAGGGGTAAAAGGGGGGTAATCCAATGACCAATGACGAAGGCACACTGGTTAAAAGATATATCTCATAGTGTGAAAGCCAATCACAGGATATAATATATATCATATCCCATAGTGAAAAGCCAGCCTTATGCTAACTACAATAAAATTTCAACAAACTCAATTTATGTAATAATAATAATGCAATACTTTGAATTATAATAATGTAATAATTATTTACACTCATAATTATAATTTTAAATCTATTTATAGATATTAATATAGTGTTATATAGAAATAAATTTAATTTAATATTTGCATGCCAAAATGGTAGGATGTACGGATCTTCTATGTACTCTGTCAACACCTTATTGTTAAAACCTACATTCAATGCAAATAAATCAATATTCTATTCTAGCACTACAATCATTGAGATATAATGTACTACGTACTAGAGAAGCTATTCCGAACAAAAACTGTGCACTACTCTGTCTTCGCGCATGCGCGGTAAATAGTACAGTCGCGCATGCGCGGTTTTTGTCATCATAGATTATATACGTAGGTAGAATGATCAGTATGTAATAAGTAAATGTTTATTTAGATTATATTGTAAATTGTATTGAGTACAATTTTTTAAATTGTTATTTATATTGCATAATGTGTTAATATAATGTAACATAATATTATTTCAGAATTTCATTTTAATTATATTTTATTTAATACTTTTGTTTTTTTTTGTTTTTTTAAAAAAACGTTACCCCCACACTAGGATTTTCTCCTGTGTCGTGGAGGCAGTTTACAAACATAAATTGCACAAGGACAAACATTAAATTATACTTTAAAAGGTAAATATGTAGAATATAAAAATATGCATTTATTTTCAAAGATCATTATTATTTCTAGCATTCTTTAACGTATTTATACGCAGCTGGTTAATAATAGCGTAAAATCAATGCGAATTTACGTAAAGGTGCATGCAGTGTATAATTAATAATGCGTGCTCTGTTTATTCTTTTTCGTTAAAGATTTATGTTACTCCATAACTTCTGCTTTACCCATTAAATCAATCTCAGCATTTAAGTTGAGACCGAATTTATGTTTCAAATTTTCTACAACTGATTTGTAAGAAGCACATTTTTTCTTTAGATAAATATTTTGTCTTAAATTTCTCAGTAAGTTTCTTTCTAGCTGCAGATTCCTTGCTATTAAATACAAACACAATATTACAACGTGCTTATATTTTATTCTTTTTATAATAACCTAGAATTATTGATTCCGTTATTAAAGTAGAACTATATTTAAAAGCTTAGGCTTCGTATACATCACTCAAACTTAGTTTAGGAGACATCACTTGCGTAATTTATTTTTAAGTACAATTTTGCTCGGACTATCTAAAATTGAATTCGTACTGCTTATTGATTCAGACAACGGTTCTGATACTTCCTGTTCATCACATTTTGTTGGCTGAAAAAAAGATACTAGTTATTTGGGAAGCCTGCAAAAATTCTAGTGTTACAGTATTAAAAAAACCGTCATATACTAGAATGACTCGCGCGCCGAGGTTTCCGTCTCTCTTAAGTCCCGTAAATATACTGAACATTACAAAACATTTGTTCGTCGTCTAATCAAAAAATAAAACAAAAATCCGAGCAATGTTATATAATTATATAATTACATTGTCGCATGGTACTGCTTATTTCTTGAAGTACACTTTTCCTATTTTTGCGGTGTATTTGTCATTTTTTTTTGAACTGCACGGAAAATATGCGTGAATAATCTGACGTTTCTTCGCTGCAATTCTTCTGAACAAATTTGATCCATAATTATTTTGTTTCATGACACAGCCGAGGAAAACATTAAATAAAAATAATAATAAAAAATATTAATTTTAATGCATTAACATTTCCTACAGTGATTATATATAAATATTTTACTGTTCATAATTACTTAACATTATGTCGATAGTGTCAAGTCTACGCATAAAAATGTTTTACTCTTTGACATTCACGTATACGTTGCAGTTGATAAAATATAATTAAATTAAGCGTGTTTTAAAGATATAAGTTTAAATTACTGGTGAAAATTCACTCCTTGACTTTTCCTTATATTTCTCGAGTAGTTTGAACAGTATCTCAATGCACACGAAGGCATATTAATTTAAAAATAATTCTTCACTCTTAACTTCTCACGTTGCAACAACCGCTTGACACAGACTAAGTGAGTTTGAGAGCGCGCACTCTAACTCGTGTTACAAACAATCGAGTTGAGGCGTCTTCTCTAGTACGTAGTACATTATATCTCAATGACTACAATACGAACTTTTAGTAGGTACCCAAGTTGACATAACACAGACATACCTTTATCCATTTATCTGCGCTTTTATATGCTCCTGTGGCACAACTGTTTAAGAGAGAGGCTAGTTCAGCCTGCAGTTTTATTTTTTCGCGGGCAGCATCCGCGCCTGTCACCCGATGTCTGGCAAAATCAGGATGCGCCACCATAAATTCCAACATTTTTTCCCGCTGCTCGTAAGAGACACGTGTTTTTTTTGCTGGAATATAAAATAATATAACTAAAATTAGTTTTAATGAAGACAAGAGTAAATAGGTAAAACCACAGAAAAAATAATAGTACAAGAAGTAAAACATAAATCAGTCACCATCGTCACAGGCAGACGCAGAGTCGAAATAAACAAACTTATTAGGTACCTACTAAAATCAAAATGAAACACAAACTAACAATGAAATAACTTGAATAGCTACTCACCAAAGGAATTGTCATTATTCATTTATTTATTTTATTTATATCACACAAAAACAGAAAGGATTTAACCAAGATTTAACAGTTAAGACCACAAACCAGTGTCTCCGCTAGGAGTAAAGTATTCTGTGAACCAGTGGCATAACAGTCCATACAATAATTTTTCTTAGAGGTATTAATATGTCAAGACAGTTTGTCCATGTTGCAGTAGATGTCGCTTTTTTTAAATTTAGCCATGCTAGGCCAATTAAGAATCAAACAAATTAATGAATAGTTCAAAATATAATCGAACCTTGCTAACTTACTATTTTGTTACAAAACAAATTTGTAATTAAATTTTTAGTGTAATTTATTTATTTTACATTTATTCAAGTGAATTATTATGATTTCGCCGTTGCAAATTGTTTTCTCCGTTTATCTATGGCAAGAGCCGGAGGGAGAGATCTATGGTCACAGAACACATGTACCCTGACGGGAAGAACGAAAACTTCATACAATAAAAATGCCAACAGCTTGCGACACTAGCGCGCCAGTTTTTGATCCATGAACTAACAGATGTGAATGTGTGCGTGTGTATATGTATATTCCTCATTGCCCACCCCCACATTCAATATTCTATTTTAATCATAATATATTACTATTTCCATTCCAATTTTCTACGAATGTAGAAATTACATTCTACATTAGTAAAAAATTGAAATGGAAATAGTAATAAATGAATAACAAATTGGAAATTTTAAATATTTAATAACACAAACCTTGAGAGGAAAATTAGAGTTAATAATTAGCTATGCATTGATACATAAGTAGAAAATTGGAATGGAACACGGTTAATAGTTTTTCAGAAATAAAACAATTATATTCGTAGAGATTTAAATATATTATTGACTAGTAATATAGACACAGAAATAAACTTGGGCACTCAATTTAAGATGATTATAGACGCATCTTAGAACACACCGTTTTCAGTAATCCATTATTATTCGTTAAACATCTTCATTAAGTAATACAACTCTGATAAATCACCATAAATTAAATATTCACTGGCTAGTAACACCACACTTAAGTTATTTTTCTACGAAATATACTAAATCGACATCAGTTTTGAATTTGGCTTAGAAAAGTTAAACAAAACTAACTCCATTTAATTTGAAAATGATTTGAAACATTCTCGTTTAAAATAATATCTAATTGATGTAAAATGTACTTTTAAACTTGTTATTTTCTTAATTTTATGAATATGTAAAATATATTAACCTAGTTTACGTTTTTATTTCACAACAATCATAGATACATTTATATTTTCGGCTACAGAGCTTGTTGCACAGAGTAATCATTTCAATCGGACATAAAAATAATCGGAACGTATAATTTAATTTATACTTTCATGGATTAAACAACTTTTATTTGTTATGTATATTATAAAATATATAGTTTATAATTTATAAGTAAAGATAATTTTTAATGGGCAGGCGACAAAGATATTAAAAAGCAAAAATAAAAGTTCCTAAACTGTAATTGAAATACAATGCGTAACATGGTTCAATAGTGATTTCTCTGTCTTGCGTATAGCGCTGTCTCTGTTTCGCTTATTTTGCCCAAAGTTTGCATCGGCTCCATAGTGAGTTGACCCCCCATGTCTATGGTCATTTCGGTCTGTCAATGTTACAAATGTCATTTATATTTAATTTTATTTTATACATACAATTACAATATTAAAAACAAAAGAAACTAAAACTAGTAGTTTGTGTGAGTGTAAAACTAGTAACTTCATTTAACGTAATTTAATTTGTCTGTTTGTCATTACATTTCCTTTCGTGGTTTGTGAATGTGCTCTGTTAGTGTTTATAAAACTTTAACAACTTTGCTTGATTCTCGGACTCCGAGGACTTCGCCTTTTTCGTTGCACTTACGCATGAAACTCAGGACCCTGATTTGCTTAACTATTTGTGCTCTGTTGACCTGGATTGTGGTTCTTTTGAGAGAAGTTGTTGTGTATTATTATAATAAAAGGAAGCATTATAAAAAAACATCCAACCGCTAAACAGTTGTTTTATTTGCCTAAATTATATTGTATACAAAGTAATTTCCAAAAGCCAAATCAATATTAAAATGGTTTGACTTTTGGAAATTACTTTGAAAATAAATAATAAATATTGTAATATAGAGCATCCTACGTCGTCGCTGGGCTGTAGGGACGTCGTATATCGCTAGATGGCGCTAATGCTACGATTCTAAGTGATGACTCTATTCCCTATATATAATGTACTCTGTGCCACAAACTATACAGATATAATAGTATATTATCTATGATATAGAAATTCAAGCGCAGTGTGACCATCTTTAAAATACAGATGATACAGATCCTGCCTTACTTTGGTTAAAAACCTGCCAGTCTGTAGTGAAAAATGCCTAAATACTGCCAACTTTATTTACCATTGTCTAATTGTATTAAAGTAAGAAAAGTAAAAATGCACATTTAAATGCTATATTTTAATTAAATTAAAATTAAACATCTTTCGTTGGTTTGAATGCAATGCAATCGCCATGCGCACCAATGCCTTGTTTAACGTGCAAGATAGACGCTACACGTTTGTTTATATCTAAATCTGTTTCGTGTTTTTGTCTTAATTAAATTTATTTGACAGAATATTCTTTCGTATGTTGAATCCAAACATATTTTTGGAACGAAATTCCTTATCGGACGGTACGAATTTGGCGGATGGGGACTAGGCGAGAAAACGTTTAATGCCTCGTCCACACGCTTGGCAAACAACGGCGAACAGCATACACCAAACAGCAATCACGAACGTGTGGATGATTATTTGCCTGTTTGTTTGTTTGTTTGTTTGTTTATATGTGATTGCCAGTGATCGGCGTTCGTGTCGGTTTTTGTGCACCGATCAAAGGATGTTCTACAAACGTGTTTGCGATGTATCCACACGTTTGGCAATCAGTCAGTAGTAGTGGCTATTATTATTATTATACTCTACGCCAATGTTACCAATCCAAAATTTGTCTCAGAGGTAAATATGATTTCAGAAGTTGAGTTTCCTACCAATACTACTTATAAAAGTTAGTAGATCTACCACCTATATTTTTTTAAGTTTTATAGAGACCTCCAAATAATAATGTGATTGACTCCTAATTAATGTTTCTATTGGGTAACAAATATTTCACCTCTTTTTATAAGGAGCCCCGTGTGAAAGCAGGATCATTGATCATCAATTCCCAAAATAAAATCCGAAAAAATTATATAAGATTAGTATATCCATCGATAAGTTTAGTATATCCTGATTTAATCGTTTTTAGACTTTCGTAGTTACACAACAAGGAACCCTTATAGTTTCGCCATGTCCGTCCATCCGTCCATCTGCGGTTTTGCTCAGACCCTAGGTGCTACAAATCTGTAATTTAGCACAGTTATAAATATTAATCACGCCTAGAAAACTGTGAAATAAAATCTTAAAAAACATTTTTATTTTGGGTACTTCCCATACAAGTAAATGGAGGATGATTTTTTTTACGTGTATATTCTCTCATGTGGGGTATCGTTGGATAGGTCTTTCAAAAACATTTGGGGTGTTGAATAACATCTTTTCGATTCAGAGGTCCGTTTGTGAAATATTTCGCTTTAAAGTGCTATTTTTCATTACACAGCTACGTAGAATCAAGAAGTTAACGAGTAATAGTTGACCAACGTATAAAATACACTTGGATTAGTAAAAATTTCGTTACATTTTCATAGAAAAGACCTAAGACTAGCTGCATGAATAACTTTGTAATGTTATTGTAAGCTGTTAAAAATGAAAATTTTATGAAGAAAATGGCTCATATGCATTACTACTATTAGTTTTGGCGAAGCGCTTAAAAAATATTTTCATTCCATATTCAATAAAATTCATTTTCATTCCATAAAAAATAAATAATTGTGCGTTTTGAAAATATTGCTATTAAATTGTATAAGGCGCTCCGAATAAAGAGATAATCTATGTTAAAAGTAAATAGATTCTATATAATATCGAACGAAAGTTCGGGGTTCGATACCCCAGTCAAGCATTAATTTCATAAAAGTTTGTTTTTAGATTAATTTAGAGTCACATGTTACATAATAATCAGTTATGCAATACGAATAAAAGCGTTCAAATCAAACTTATTTGAACCTGAAGACAATTTATAGCAGTGATAATTGAGAATTCATTTGAGATTCTATGGTGTGTAATATCTTCAATACAATAGCCTTGAGAGCAATTCATATTGCCGTGGCAAACACCAAGCGTGTGGAGGCGGCATAAGAACTTTTCAGACATGACCCCTTCTGACTTAGTGTAGACGGCCTTGCGAGAAAGGGAGATGGAATAATATCCATCTCCCTCGCACTTTTCTTATCTTGCCATGAAAGAAATATTATTTTATTTTAAATGACGCTTCATTTTAATAGACGCTAGTAATTAATTTATTTGTATTTCATAATCAATATTATAATACGTTTATCAGTAATAATATACTACGAAAGGAACTTCGTTCCAATCGAGTTTTCCACGACACTCACGGATGTTTTTTTGTTATGTTTACTAGTAGCGGCATGATCCTTTAAAGTGGACAGCCGGGATGCTAATTTGAATCTGATCGTCTTTAGCTTTGAAGATCCACGATGAAAGTAAAGGACATTGCTACCACTCCGCTCTATAAGGTATGTTGGGGTAATACCGGACGGATTTTCGAATAGTTGGAAGAGTCTGCCAAAAACTTTAATTTCTCGACATTCGTATACGTCAGATTTATGGAACATGGAGCAAACCGTTAATCGTTAAATGTAGTTTAGCTCTGAGAATCTTTTGCTTGTGTAAACTCAACAGTTTCTGCTTTAAAGGTGTGCGAAAACTAGACATACTTTTTTATATGCATAATGAAAAATTGGCCATTAAGGGGTAAGACCGGACTTAAATTTAAAACCACTTCTACTGCTTAGAGAAAAAAGTTTATAAAAGAGATTTGTCCTATATTTAACGCTCAAAAACATATTTCAATATGATCTATAAATTACTAGAAACATAAATGTTCCAAACGATTTTCTCTTTTTTTGTTTCTTGCCATCCGATCTTATCCCTGA